CCTACATTGAACTTTTGAGATGCTCCCTTTAAACGTTGATTACAGGGTTGCAATTATTTGACTGCTAGTAAAAAGGATAGCTGATACTTTCAGACAACTATAGATACTGGTTGGGGGCAACAGATGCTGTTAAAGAAGGGTCCTGGAGGTGGATTGGCATCAATATTATACAACTCTAAGCGATGACTTCCCTGCATGGATTGATGGCGGTAGAACAGCAGCCGATAGCGAAGACAGAGATTGTCTGATTACGAGGACATCCGAAATTCATTACAAGGCCTCGGCGTGCGTAGACTGGACGAAAATGCATTTCTTTGCGAATCTCCTGTGTACTGATCTAACCACACAAAATATGAAGAATAAGTTCACAAATTGCGCATATTCAAAGACATTTCCATGCGATTATTATACTGATCTAAGTTTACACAACCGCATTTGAAAATATATTATATGTAAATGTCCTTTCTGGCCTACTTGGTTGAGTCAGAGACATGTAAAAACTATATGTCTCTGGTTGAGTCCACACAAACTGCAGATTTGAAAAAAACATTTATTTGGGAATCTCTCTCATTCTGATCTCTTTTTTATACTGATATAAATTTCACAATTGATTTTATTTTTTCTGTAATTGTTATTGATTTCATTAAAATTAAAAATGTGGTATTTTATTTTTTCTTCAGCGTTGTTAATTATCAATAAAGTAAACGATTAAAAGAAACAGAGTGTAAAGCGTTAGCAACCCCTTGACAGATAAGCTAAATCGAAGCATTATAGTTCTTTCTACTTTCTACTGCCGAAAGCAGAAAAAAATAAAGAAAAAATTTGAAACTTTTCTCAACTTTTTTTCAACCCTAAAATATAGGATTATGGTGTTATCTGGTAAAATAGTATATTAGATTCAGAATTATCATCAAAACTTCTTCTTGAAATAATGTTGACATAGAAACATGTCGCCGTGGAATTATTCCATACGTTTTCTGAAATTGCTGATTATCCGCTTATTACGTGTTGTGTAATGCCGGGTTGGCCTAGTGGTTAAGGCATTGGTCTGAAAAGCAGGAAGTCTGGCTTCAGGCTGAAAAGTAGAGGTCTTGGGTTCAAACCCAGGTCACAGCACTTCTTGTGATTTGTCTTTGACCCATGACTGCTGACCTATACCGGCGATTACTTGAGTGCTGCTAACTCAATAAAAGGCTGGCGCTGGCTAGAATTGTCTATGGTTCTAGCCAGGATAAAGATACCAGTTCTTCAACTCGACAATGGGAAGAACTGCTCTACCTAAGTGACTAATATGTCATGATATGACATCTAAAGAGTCAATAAAAGATATATATAATGAACTGTGATAAAGCATTGTGCACAATTCAAATATACCTGAAGACTTGTATGTGACATTTCTCATTATAAGATACTCAAATCGGCATCTCGACGATGACGGATCACTTTAAAAGGGTAGGTGGTCCTATCAAATTTTGGTCCTACTCTCTATTGATTTATATGGTGACCTTATTACAATTATTTTCCTTATTATTTGTACACAGTCAGGGCCAGTAAGGAAAGGGGATCATGTTTTATATCTTCTTCCAGATTATGAGCCTCGAGAGCGTATACTTTCATACATGTAGAGTCAAAAATCCGAACTCACTTTAATCATACGTCTTTGTTTGTAAGAACACTTTCGTGACATTAACATATAGACAGACATATGAAATGGATTTGTGAAAAGGCTCATTATTCAGGTGACACATCGTAGTTTTTAGCGTCTTAGGAGATTTGAGAAAAAAGAGATCGGTGGACGTAATGTTTTTACTGTGAATAAATGTGTATGAAATACGTTTTAAATATTTAGAGAAACAATTGCGACAGTACTGTTACATATATACTTATTCAGTATGTTGCTGCGACATTTTACATTTTTTAACGTTTTTGCGTCTTGACTGTTCATCATAAATGACATTTTTAGATAAATAGTTGTCATGAATGACATGAATGACATTTAGATAAATAGTTGTCATGAATGCCATCAGTTAGATAAATCGCTTTAACCTTCATTATTATGTGATCAGTCCCCCCTTGCATCCAACTTATATAAAAAAAATTACTACTGAATAACTATTGAAAGATAGTCAAAAATGAATATTATTAAGTACAATTATCTAGGCTGACATATCACATACATTGAAGTAATATTAATTGTTCTGCTATATTTCACTGTATTACATATCTAGCGAAGCATTTGTATGGAAGTCAATGGAGCTGAAGGTCGGCTATATATTCCTGTAATAGCCGCCAAACTTTTTTACCATGACAACTTTGTGACGTCATAACATGTAAACAAAGTGATTTCGACTGGAATCGTGTAAAATTTTGGTCTTTTTTCATGTATTTCAACATATTATCTTTATGAAATGTAATGTAAATGTACTTAAGGTATGTAATACAACAATTATGTCCGTATCATTGAATATATGCCTTCGGTCCGTCGTCAATATAACCTTCGCAAGCTCAGGCTATATTGACGTCCGACCTCAGGCATATATTCAATGATAGGGACATTGTACATGATAAATACAGTACTCCTTTTTGTAAGACAATAAACGGTTTATGTCACCACTGAGAAACAGTTTTGCAATTTAGTTATACGGAAATGATTTTATGGTGCTTTGTAGTAAAAAAAAAGGCTGTCAGGACTTGATCTAAACAAGCAAAATTCAACACAAACTGGCACCGAAAGCACCCATGATGTTTCGATTAGCAGAGAAAGCATTTTTCTGCTTATCATATGGTTGCATATTGTGTTCTCTTGTGACGTTCTATGTCTTTTACAAGTACATGCATGCATCAACAGATTTAGATCAACAAAAAATCCAAACACAACAAGTTGTCATAGTGGCAGACAAAACGGTTGACCAAACACGAATGGCTACCATAGCAACTAATTATACGGATGATCAAATACAACTGGCTACCAAAGTAACCGATTTTAGCAAATCGGAGCCCAACAATAAAGTAAATGATAAAAATAAGAATATTCCTAATGACAAAAATGATGCGCTGTACTTCCAAGATATAATGGCGGAGAGATCGGAAGTTGCCAGAGCACATTGCATATACATAACACAGTTACCTGCTTACAAAGCCATGTTAAAACTCCGTAAAAGAACAGGCTATAAGAAGCCATGTGGAGACTTAGAATTACCTAGATTTACTTACATCTATGTTCTTGAAGAACTACATTTGGTATTTTGTTCAGTCTTTAAAGCAGCCTCGAGTGAGTGGAAGAAGATTCTGCGGAGTCTTATTTATAAAGGCGACAATCTGGAAACGCAAAAGAGGTACGAGGCACCGGGAATCGACGCCAAGTGGCCACACTTTGCAAAACCTCTTCGGGAATATTCCCCGTCAAAGAGATGTCATATATTAGAGACATTTAATAAGGTTATGATAGTTAGGAACCCCTATGAGCGTCTGGTGTCGTGCTTCAATGATAAATTCAGGCGTAACATCGATTATTGCAAGGAGATTCTAAGTCCCATGGTGCGCTGGTCAGGAAAAAATTGTGAGTCAATGACGATGGTTGATTTTATAAATCTGATCACTTCCCGGTGGTCTGGCCAAGATCCTCATTGGCGCTCAATCTTTGACACATGTCTCCCTTGTGAGATAAAATACAACAACATTCTAAAGTTTGAAACCCTTACTAGAGACCGGGATTATTTTCTAGAAACACTTGGGTTATCAGGAAGGCTTAATTTTACCAAGCATGTATCCTCTACTCATGACGGTAACTATTTTGAAAACTTCACTCAGGAAATGTCGGATGCGATCCATTCAATTTATACCCTTTGCATTCGTTTGACTTCACTTCTTAAAAGAGAGCTTCGTCTTCACTCTTTCAAACTAAAATAAACCTGTGAACTCACCGCGCCAATCAGTGTTCGTCGGCCAAATTTGACCGACGTTCTATATATGGTCATTCCTTCTGACGTCATCGTTGAGCCCGGAATTGACCAATGACATGCGCATATTTAATTAGAACGCATTTGGCGTATGTTTGTTCAGGCTCGCTGAATGGTGGAAGAAAGGTCAGCGCATAGGTCAGAAGTGATTTATATTATTACCCAAACTGTCACCGGTACCCGTCGTGGGGGCGGGGCTACTAAACTGTAATATGGTCTCTACTAGGCAGAGTGTAGTTTAACTAGACTCTGCACGCAGGGTATTCAATTTATGAAGAGGATTTTCTTTTGTACAATTATACAAAATATGTAGTACCAGATTGATTATTGTTATAACGGTCCATTAGTTTGGAGGAAATAAAGATTAAACAAATAAACGTTCACTGATATGCATTGTTAATCCTTCCAAACTGAAATTTTGGAAGTAACGGATTATGGAGAGAGAACAATGAAATGAATCTATAGACCTAACACACATACAAGTTATTTCGATATGAAAACTGATTGGCAGGTGTTATCGCCCGACAGCTGAAAATCTCATTGCAGCTCTGATATTGGATTTTTTGACATGCATTTTTGAATTTTTTTCTTAGAGACTTACATGGTGATCTACGTTCAGAACTTTGGTTCTGCCTTGCTCTACAAGAACGTGTTTCTCATTACTCGTATGACTCTGTATTATGGCATAGGCTAGTTTCCCTTTTATAACAAAACTGAATAAGAATAATTTTCATATGGGAGATAACATTATGAAAGACAAAGCTTATTCTTTATGATGTTTATTACAAATCTTTATACAATTTGTACATGCTTCTGGTTCATAATGTCAGTCTGCTTGCTCTTTTCTATTCAAATTTATTCACTCAAATATTTGCAAGAAGTTTACAATTTTCTTGCACTTCGTAATTTTGAATAGCTTCATGATACTAGTTCAATAGCTTCATGATACCATTTCAATAGCTTCATGATACTGTTTCAATAGCTTCATGATACTATTTCAATAACTTCATGATACTATTTCAATAGCTTCATGATACTATTTCAATAGCTTCATGATATTATTACAAAGACCTGGTCCCACTTTTCAATGTCTAGCAGATAAGGCTACGCAGCTGGCTTACAGCTATCACTAACAGTTAACAGATCTACTAGAACATTCCTAAGGCACAGTTTCAGTTCAATGTCTTCACCATCTTGAACTGTGTGCATGCAACCTACAATTCCACTTTATGATGCAACCTACAGTTCCACTTTATGATGCAACCTACAGTTCCACTTTATGATGCAACCTACAGTTCCACTTTATGATGCAACCTACAGTTCCACTTTATGATGCAACCTACAGTTCCACTTTATGATGCAACATACAGTTCCACTTTATGATGCAACATACAGTTCCACTTTATGATGCAACCTACAGTTCCACTTTATGATGCAACCTACAGTTCCACTTTATGATGCAACCTACAATTCCACTTTATGATGCAACCTACAGTTCCACTTTATGATGCAACCTACAGTTCCACTTTATGATGCAACCTACAGTTCCACTTTATGATGCAACCTACAGTTCCACTTTATGATGCAACATACAGTTCCACTTTATGATGCAACCTACAGTTCCACTTTATGATGCAACCTACAGTTCCACTTTATGATGCAACCTACAGTTCCACTTTATGATGCAACCTACAGTTCCACTTTATGATATTCCATAGATACATTTCAGCTGCTAAAATATTTACTGTAATCCATAACGCTTCATTCTCCATTGCAACAGTGATTCTATATAAATCGTCTCACAATGTTACATAGATTTCCGATGATATTCCTTAGATGTAACTCAGTTGAATATATCTACTCAGACAAAGCTGCACAGTTTACACTGTAGTATATTTAAATGCAAAACTGATTCCAAACAAAATGTGTCACAGCTAGCGTTACATAGATTTCCGATGATATTCTGGGGAGGCAACCTCATAATTACTCAGGCTAAACAGTGTTGAGGAATTCTTGATCATGTATCTGAAAATATAAATCTTTATTTGAATTATTGAAAATGGAATACAACATACAGATTTAAGACCTGGATGTTTAAATCAATTGTATCAACAATTTTAAATAATTGCCTGATTTTATGGTATTTTATGCAACTTACAAAGTTAACAACCCAAGAGGTTTGAATTTTGTAATAAATACATATATTACTCATATGCAACTATTGAGACAATACACACTAAACTAAGATAAACTTAAAATATTGAACTATTTTTCTTCATTCTTTCCTTTGGTTTTCCTTCTCCATTCTATTTCTATTTTTAGCCTCTGGAATACTGAGCCCATAAAAGTTTTAAATTTCCTTTGGTTTTCCTTTTCTATCCTATTTCCATTTTTAGCCTCTGGAATACTAAGCCCATAAAAGTTTTAAATTTCCTTTGGTTTTCCTTTTCTATCCTATTTCCATTTTTAGCCTCTGGAATACTAAGCCCACTAAAATTTTAAATTCAAATATTATAACAGTGAAACCTGTACAAGTGGAACACCTCTGTTACACAGCCAATATAATTTGACACCATTTCAGCATCGAACAAATTCGGCACCGCTCCGGCACCGTTTCGACACCGTTCCGGAACCGAAACCTTTCGACACCAAAATTTGCTATTGGAAAATCGAAAATCAGATTGCATTTTGGGGGTGTAGTGGAAAACCTCAGTTTTCAAAGTCCCAAGACCAACTGACTTAATGTTAAATGAGCCTCTATAAGTAGAAAACTTTCCAAGTGGAAAACTTTTTAAAAGCACCAAAGGTGTTCCAATGAGACATGCAGGATTTACTGTATTCCGTTTAGCCAGTTTTAAAGTTTACTATCTAATATCATACTTACTTTAGAAAGTCATGTATATGAGACAGTAACAGTGTAACACTTTTGTCATCCAGAGGAGTATAAGCCAACATATTGCCAATTTTTACTGAAAAAGAAATCAAAGATTTAGTAAGTTTAATTGTATTTTTAGAAAGAACTATCTACTGTATCTTAGATGGATACCACTCAAATTCAGTGTACCACTGTTAAAAATGTGTAATTTCCAAATAAATATTTTATTACTTAGGAAAGAACAGTTTTGCTTAAACCACTTTTTTCTTGTCCCACAAAAATGTCAGCTAAGATTATATAGCGAATTTGAAAAAGCAAAATAATCATTTACATTTTGGAATAGAAGATAAATAAGATATATTAAAGTAAACTCATGATTTAATTAAAAAGATCACTGGTGAAAATCAAAAAATTAAAAGATACTCTACAAAAACCACAAACATTTAAAATGAAACTCACCAAAAAGTCTGAGTAAATGGATTGGTCCATAAATTTCCGACATGTTCATATCTGGATATTTCTGTAATATCTGAAAATATGAAAACAAATGACATTTAAACAGGAAGTGAGACTGAGTGAACTAGGACATGAATCAATAAGGAACAAAGCACCTGCCATTTGTTACAGGCACCGCCTGTGGACTGCTAAACGCTGCACACAGGTCCATTAAAAAAAGTTGAAGAGTCAAATCAAATACGTTCTACTAAATGTGGCACATATGTTGGTTTATTTTGTCATGCAGATTTCATGTTTTCTCATGTCTTAATCTAGAATCAAATATGATACATTATGTTTCCTAACTACCATCCCTCTCTCAAAGAAATAAATATTGAGTTTTCAAATTAACAAGACTATTTAACAAACATACCAGAAATATTTCAGAATTTATTTTTTTATTTTTTTTTTTCAATAATTAGGCCTATATAAATATGTTTACTAAAAAACTCACCTCTCCATATTGTATTCGTTCAAATTTATAAAGCAATTGAGTTCCTAACATAACATTGAAGTATTCCCTCAATCCTGCTGTCATTTCAAGAATAACATCTCTGCAAGAAATAAAACATTTATGATTTAAGTAAAATGCAATGTAATACAACAATTATGTTCCTAACATAACATTGAAGTATTCCCTCAATCCTGCTGTCATTTCAAGAATAACATCTCTGCAAGAAATAAAACATTCATATTTAATGTAAAATGGAATGTAATACAACAATTATGTTCCTAACATAACATTGAAGTATTCCCTCAATCCTGCCGTCATTTCAAGAATAACATCTCTGCAAGAATCAAAACATTTATGATATAAGTAAAATGGAATGTAATACAACAATTATGTTCCAAACATAACATTGAAGTATTCCCTCAATCCTGCTGTCATATCAAGGATAACATCTCTGCAAGAAATAAAACATTTATGCTTTAAGTAAAATGGAATGTAATACAACAATTATGTTCCTAACATAACATTGAAGTATTCCCTCAATCCTGCCATCATTTCGAGAATAACATCTCTGCAAGAAATAAAACATTCATATTTAATGTGAAATGAAATGGAATAACATTGAAGTATTCCCTCAATCCTGCTGTCATTTCAAGAATAACATCTCTGCAAGAAATAAAACATTCATATTTAATGTAAAATGAAATGGAACAACATTGAAGTATTCCCTCAATCCCGCTGTCATTTCGAGAATAACATCTCTGCAAGAATTAAATAAAACATTCATATTTAATGTAAAATGAAATGGAAAAACATTGAAGTATTCCCTCAATCCTGCCATCATTTCGAGAATAACATCTCTGCAAGAAATAAAACATTCATATTTAATGTGAAATGAAATGGAATAACATTGAAGTATTCCCTCAATCCTGCTGTCATTTCAAGAATAACATCTCTGCAAGAAATAAAACATTCATATTTAATGTAAAATGAAATGGAACAACATTGAAGTATTCCCTCAATCCCGCTGTCATTTCGAGAATAACATCTCTGCAAGAATTAAATAAAACATTCATATTTAATGTAAAATGAAATGGAAAAACATTGAAGTATTCCCTCAATCCTGCCATCATTTCGAGAATAACATCTCTGCAAGAAATAAAACATTCATATTTAATGTGAAATGAAATGGAATAACATTGAAGTATTCCCTCAATCCTGCTGTCATTTCAAGAATAACATCTCTGCAAGAATTAAAACATTCATATTTAATGTGAAATGAAATGGAAAAACATTGAAGTATTCCCTCAATCCTGCCATCATTTCGAGAATAACATCTCTGCAAGAAATAAAACATTCATTTTTAATGTAAAATGAAATGGAACAACATTGAAGTATTCCCTCAATCCTGCTGTCATTTCAAGAATAACATCTCTGCAAGAAAGAAAAAACATTCATATTTAATGTGAAATGAAATGGAATAACATTGAAGTATTCCCTCTATCCTGCCATCGTTTCGGGAATAACATCTCTGCAAGAATTAAAACATTCATATTTAATGTGAAATGAAATGGAATAACATTGAAGTATTCCCTCTATCCTGCCATCGTTTCGGGAATAACATCTCTGCAAGAAATAAAACATTCATATTTAATGTAAAATGAAATGGAACAACATTGAAGTATTCCCTCAATCCCGCTGTCATTTCGAGAATAACATCTCTGCAAGAATTAAATAAAACATTCATATTTAATGTGAAATGAAATGGAATAACATTGAAGTATTCCCTTTATCCTGCCATCGTTTCGGGAATAACATCTCTGCAAGAATTAAAACATTCATATTTAATGTGAAATGAAATGGAATAACATTGAAGTATTCCCTCTATCCTGCCATCGTTTCAAGAATAACATCTCTGCAAGAATTAAAACATTCATATCTAATGTGAAATGAAATGGAATAACATTGAAGTATTCCCTCTATCCTGCCATCGTTTCGGGAATAACATCTCTGCAAGAAATAAAACATTCATATTTAATGTAAAATGAAATGGAACAACATTGAAGTATTCCCCCAATCCTGCTGTCATTTCAAGAATAACATCTCTGCAAGAAATAAAACATTCATATCTAACAAAAAAAAGTAGAACATGTTTCGCTTGCGATAGATGTTACACATTAGACTACCATTCCCAGGAGAGTATCAACATTCATGAAGCTGCAGCAAATAATGTCAAACTAATAGAGGAGTTTCTAAATGATTTTGAAATCTCACTAATTCTCGTTTTTTCATGAGATTTTAAGAGATTTGCACATTTTACCTCTAATGACTTACTTTTCTTTCTTTTTAATAGCGTATTTGAATTCAATGATATGTTTCCTACAATAATAGCTTTGATTTACACATTTATGTCATTTAAATCATTCTCCATGACATTTAAAAAAAACTTGGGCCAAATCTCCATTGATGTTATGCAAAAATTCTTTAAAACCATGGTTTAATCGTATGACAACCAACATTTTCATGTTTAATCACAATATGTTCATTGACAGGGTCATTTAATAGTATGCCATTCAAATTTCAGACAGATTTAACTAACACTCTTTGATAAATCATGAAATTAAGTGACTATTGCAAGCTTTTAGCATAGAACTCAATGGAAGGTTGGCCCAAGATGAACAAAGGTGACATCTATTATGTCAGCTTTATTCAGCTTTATTTAGTTATTTAGAAACTATACTATTGATGAACTCCTCAAGAAAGGCAACACATTTGTCAAATGCTTATAAGATTCCATTCGCAGCACTCATACCAAGAAGGATAATAAAATGGTGCAAGAAGCTGACAATGTCACACATGAACTGAACAATGATATGAACATAGCTATCCAAGCAATCCGTGATAAATACACAAAGATCATTGCCTCAGTTGTTGAGAAAAGAGACACATGCAACAAGCAAGCTATTGCTCATCTAGAACACCTGCACATGGTAAAGGCTACCACTGAGAGCACAATGAGCCAGCTTTGTAAACTAAAACAGCACAGACATGATACAAAGCTTGCTAAGATGGCTCGAGGCATCAAAATGAAATCAACAGAATGGACGAAAATTACAAATGCAGAATATAATGCTAACATTACATTCAATATTCAAAGAGGTGAAGTGTCTGATCATAAAATAGAATTCAGTAAAGTTACCATGAGAAAGGTTACACCTAAAGGAACTGTCACCACCTGCCATTTGTTACAGAGGCAAAAACAAATAGGAATGTTGTAGTTGCTACTGGCTATATGCGACAGCAGCATACATCTTCAACAAAGACCTGACTTTGTAGACTGAATTTGGTGATGGCTTCCATTGCATTGCTGCAAAAGATAATGAGATACTCCTCAGTAGTCGGAGTGACACAGTGCACATATACAACCAGGACGGCAGCCACTGCAGAGATCTAAAACTAGATGGACTGATATGTGGATGTATTGCAGTGAACTCAAGAGGGGAACTTGTTATATGTGATGAAATGACCAACTCTTTCTACCATATTGACAATATAACTGGTGCTATCTTGACCAAGTTCAACACAGATTTCAAATGTCTCTTCTCTGTAGCCATAAATAGTGATGATGATGTGATTTTGCCCGAGTCTGGGGCACACTGTGTAACTGGTATCACAAGAGATAGTCAGTTGCTGTTCAGGTATGGAACATGTGTAGATGGATTGAACTAGCTGCACAGTCCCTGTACAGATAGAGCTGACAATATCATAGTGGCTGACACAAGCAACAACAGAGTTCATCTGTTATACCCAGATGGCAAATTCATCCAATACCCTTAGGCAGAATCAGATGGTTTACGGAGGCCTACAGCTGTAGCAGTGGACAATGAGGGACATTTATTAGTAGGAGAACACAGTGGTAATATCTGGTGTGTAGAATACACAGAGTAAAACCAAAATGGGACAAATTAATCCTTGCTGATGAACTAATAATATATAGAATAGTGGACCTTTAATATTATAGAGAATACCATTCAAAGATTTATGTGAGATCGTTGCCCATGCAGGAAGGGGTTGGCTTTTGTCAAAAAATTGGGTCAGATTCCACACCCTAGAATTAAGCAACCTATTGAGTCAAACTCCCATAGATAATCTGGCAGCAATATTAGCTGGAAATAATTAGCTGAATAATACTGCGTGTCAAATTCCCGAGCAAACCCTTGAATAGTGCATAATTAAGCTGCTGTTTGCCCCGAAACGCAATCTAGAGTTGTTCCGGGGGTGAACTTTATCATTTTGAGCTTAATGAAAGATTATACAATGATGAACAAATGGGGCAAATCTCGTGTTAAAATACTCAAGATAAATGTGTCATTACAAAGATTGTTCTTTGAATTGCTTCAATTGTCGGCATCGATATGATGTTTGGAAGGTTTCTAAATTTAGAACATGACGTCACTACCAAATTATAACACTTAAAATAAGTAACGTTAAATTACTCTTCTTGTTCGTACTAAACTGGTAGCTCAGCGGTAGAATGCTCCCTGAGTACGCAGGTGGCCTGGGTTCGAATCCCGCGCGAAGATTTTTATTTTTTTAACTAAATCATTGTGCTTTGATATTACCCAGAAATTGAGAAATTTTACCAGTAAATTTTCTATTAATTACAATACAAACCTATTCCATGACATATGCTTACTCCCCTTATTTGGAGTAATTGGCAAGTCTAAAAAACACCCCTTTATAAAAAAGTGGACTGGCCCAAGTGGCCAATATCGATCCCCAACTCATTATGTATTCATATTTAATACGCTAACAAAATAAATAAATAACCTCCATTTTCCCAAAGGCGGGGAGGCTGGGTGGGCCTCTGGTCATGGAATAGGTTTGTATTGTAATTAATAGAAAATTTACTGGTAAAATTTCTCAATTACATACAATCCAACCTATTCCATGACATATGCTGAATAAAAAGTTAAGGAGGTGGGGACCTCGTTACTAAAAGTACAAAAGAACTATATTACCATCCTAATGAGATGTCACCCAAAGAATAGTACATGTACCATTACCCCCATCTGCTAGTTGGATCCAAGACGGAGGCTGTTACATGTCCAACTGGAGACTGTTATGTCCTATCAGAGTGAGCAGTCTTAGCCATTTAAGGGTAATGACCAACTCCTATGAATAGAGACTGGTTAACCAAGAAAGGGCCGTTTAAACCAAACGAGGTAACCGTTGCAGTTCTTCAAGGGTCCAGGTCACAAGCTAGTTGAGTTGAACCCTTCTGCAAAACAGTCGAGGCCAAGCTTCCCACGTGAATCCATCTGCAGATATAGAGTGAGTGAAGAAACACTTACGTCTAAAAGTTGCAGAGAGTGCCAGCTAGTACCACCGGGCCCAGCTTGTGCATGCCTTTCTCCATTACAGTCACATCTCTGAGGTAGTAACTTGTGAAGGTGTTGTGGGATGCCCATGAACAGGTCTTGAAGAGTGCTGTTAATGAGGCATTGGCTTGTAGAGCTAGTGAGGAAGATATGGCTCTTGTCTCGTGTGGTCGTATCTTCCCTTGTAACTTGCTTTCTTCTGAGGCATTCTTGTAGACATAGTTCAACAGTTGTTTCACCCAACTAGAGAGAGTGTTAGGGTGTACATCAGAACTGCATCCTTTCTTGAAGGGGATGAAAAGTCTATTTCTGGATCCTCTGATAGGAACTGTGGCTTGAAGATAATATCTTAGGGCCCTCACAGGACATAAGAATTTATCTGGCGTTTCATTTCCAACGAAGTTAGCTAGAGCCTTGATGGTGATTGGTTGGAATCTGGACTGTCCTTCTGCGCAATTCAATGATTTCGGCAGGAAACCAACAAAAGGGAAAAGTACCGCTTCCAAGTTGTTTCTAGTCCATTGTATACGCCTAATGTCTATGGCATGGATGTCAGAACGTCTTTTCCCTGAAGCTAACAGTAGAAGGAAAAGTGTCTTCCACGATACGTGTTTGAGATCAGCTGTCGACATTGGTTCGAAGGGAGGTTTGGTTAACTCGTGTAGTACAAACACTAGATCCCACTTAGGCATCAGATCTTTAGGCTGAGCATCTTCTAATTTGAAAGAATGGATCAGATCAGAGATTTCTTGAGTCGACGAGAGTGATGTGCCACTTGATTGTTGAAGGACTTGATTGATGACAGTTCTATAACCTTCAATGGTACTCACTGTTAACTTCTTTACTGAATGAAGATAAAGTAAGAAGTCAGCTATTTCTGGAACAGAGACTGTGCAGGGATCCAGATTCCTCTCAGAACACCAAATAGAGAACTTCTTCCATTTGGCATCATAGACTCTGTTGGTGGAAGGTCTTCTAGCATCTGATGCGATTCTTTTTGACACTTGTGTTGAAAAACCCTTCTGAGTGAGAGATTTCGTGAGAGTTTGCAAGCGTGAAGATGGAAAAGTTCTGGATTTTGATGGAAGATCTGACTTCTTGGCATTTTGAGAAGTTTCTCCCATGGGGGGATTTCCCTTGGATAGTCCACTAGAAGATCCAATAGTTCTGGGAACCACGGCTGATTCTGCCATTTTGGAAGGATTGCTAGAGCTAAACAGTCGTGATCCTTTATCTTTTGTAGAACTAATCCTATCACTGGCGTGGGGGGATAGATGTACAGATGAAGATTTTGCCAGCTTAGGGATAGAGCGTCTGTTGCCCAAGCTGCTTGATCTTGTATTGGTGAGACATACACTGGTAGTTGATTGTTGTAGCATGTCGCCATCATGTCTAGATTTGGAGTTCCCCATATCTTGAACATCTGTTTGACAACTGCTGGATGTAAAGACCATTCTGTCGCAACTATCTGGTTTCCCCGGCTCAACAGATCTGCTCTTCGATTCAGTCGACCTGGCACATGTCTTGCGCGAAGCCGGACTTGATGTAAATCGGCCCATAACCATATCTGTCGAGATAACTCTGTCAGTTTTGCTGACTGTGTTCCCCCTTGTTTGTTGAGGTAGGTTGTCGCAGTTGTGTTGTCTGCACAAATTAACACCATCTTTCCTTGGAGGTGAGTCTGAAAGTGTTGAAGGGCTTTCTGTACGGCTTTTAGTTCCAGTCAGTTTATGTGGTTGTTGGATTCTGATTGGGACCAGTTTCCACAGCACTCTTTCGATATGTTCCGATCCATGTGAGCACCCCACATCGCTGTTGAAGCATCTGTGAATATTGTCACTTCTGGTGAAAATGGAGCTAAAGTCATCCCTTTCTCCAGATGCTGGCCTTGATTCCACCACAACAGGTCCAATCTTGCAGTACAATCTACTGTTATCATCTTGTCCAATGGATCTCTGAGTTGAGACCAATTCTGAGACAGGCATTGTTGGAGGAACCTCATGTGTAATCTCCCCAGTGGGACTTGTTTCTCTGCTGATGCCAGTAATCCCAGAAGAGACATCCACTGCTTGGCTGTTGCTCGACTTTCTGTGAGGAACCAGTCTGTTAGGTGTAGAATTTTGTCTATTCTGTCCTGGGGGGGATAGGACATCCCTAGATGAAGGTCCCACCGTACACCTACATAGTCGAAGATCTGCAATGGAATCAACTGCGATTTCTTGTGATTGATGATGAAGCCAAGGTTTTCCGTCACCGTCATCACAATCCATAGGTGATCTGAGACTTCCTGTGGCGATGCTCCTCGGATTAACCAATCGTCTAAATACCGGTGGAGTTTTATCCCGAGCTTGTGGAAGAACGAGGCTAGGGGTTCCAGGATCTTGGTGAATATCATCGGTGCTGTTGCCAGACCGAAAGGCAGGACTCGAAATTGCAGAATTTTTCCGTTGACGACAAAACGGAGATACTTCCGGAAGTTCTCTTTCATCATTATATGAAGATAAGCATCCCGAAGGTCCAAGGATACTGCCCATTCGCCTTGTTGGAAGGAGGTCATGTACTGCTGTACTGTTTCCATTTTGAATTTGGGAACTATTAAGACTTGATTTAAAGTTCTCAAATTGATGACGGGTCTGTCTTCTCCATTCTTCTTCTTGACCAAGAATAGATTGCTGTAAAACCCTGGGGAATGTCTGTTTAGAACTTCTTCTACAGCATTCTTTTGCAGAAGGTCCTCTACCACTCTGCTGAAACGAGCTGCTTTGCTCGATGTTGAAGACTCGAACTGGTTTGGTTCGGTGCATAACGTCACAGTTGAATTCATCTGTGGGATGTATCCTACCTGGATCATCTTCAGTATAAACGGATCTTCCGTTAACAGCTTCCAATTCGGAAGGAAAAACATCAATCTTCCCCCTACAGGTCCTGGAAATGGAGGAATTGTGAAGATTGGGATCATGGAATGGTCACTTCTTAGAGAATCTGTTGTCTTTGTTGAAGTGCTTACCACCTTTATTGTCGTATTTCTTCTTGGAATCACGAAAATCTGACTTGGGTTTGTCTTGTGATTTGGACCAATCTTTGTTAGAGGATTTCTTCCTGTAGTCAGACCTGGATTGGCGTTGGGACCTGTCTTTGTCTTTACTAGATCTAGAACTGGACTGGGCCAAGGTAACTAGTGCTTGGTTTGTCAGATTTGAGGAGGCTGAGTCAACCAAATCTTTAAGTTGTGACTCTGGATACAAAGTGGTAGATGTATGCTCAACTGGTAGTACCCTCATAGATTCGCGGAAGCGTGTTGGTACTTGTTCTTGAATCAGATCACGTTGAAGTAATGCTGAGTTGGTGAGAGTCTTGAGAATACCTTCAGTAGCAGTAACAGAGGCTGTCGAACCCCTAAGGAGTAAATCGCCCATGGAATCTAACAACTGGGTAACTAGTGGATCCGTGTTGTTGGATAAGTGTGCTGTGAGTTGGGTAACTAACTTTGAAACAGAACCTATATACCACTCTGAGTACACCAAAGGTTGAAGGACAGCCCTCAAATTCTCTTCGAGACCCTTCCAGTTTTTATTGGAGAGTTGAGTTTTAGTATCAGCATTCTTGAAGAAATCACTGAAGGTTTTATCATTTGGGACTAAGTTTCCAAGTGAATTATTGAGTTTGAGGGGCCGTACGACTGAATCATCTCCCTTGGCTAATCTATAAATTGAAGATTTGATTCTGAAGAGTTTTCCCTTTGTGTTGAAACCGGAAGTGGCAGATGAGATCTGATTATTGATATTCTGCACCAACTGATGGAACACTGGGGGACAAGGTAATGAAGCTTTAGTGACTGAAGATTCATCAACTTTCTGGAGAGCTACCCTAGTCAAAGATTCTTTAGAATTAGTGGAGCTGTTGACTTGGTCAATTTCTAAGGCTGATATGGTGGAATCCCATAAGGAACGAACTAACAAGACCGCTTCTTCTTCAGAGGATTTAGATTTAGACGGCTCGTTGTCATCAGAATCCAAAATACGAGGTTTAGAATCTGAATGTTGAGATTGTGAAATTTTGGAACTAAAATTGTTGATAATGGATCGTGAATTCTGAGTTCCCTGACGTGAAGTCCCGGAAATCCTACTCGGCGAACTATCAGAGGGTCTATTAGTGTGAGAGTAGGAGTGGTGAGACAATCTAGAAGGGCTTCTAAGCTGAGAAACGGGAGATCTTGAACGATTTCGAAAAGTTGACCTACTTACGTCCACGTGGTGTGTGGCGGAATAGTTGTAGTCACGAAATTTGGTGTCATTTCGGTGCGAATCGTTACCTCGTTTTCCCGTCTCTACGGCCTTCTTACTGCTCCGGGGGGACTGCTCTCTCGGAAGCGAGTATTCCGAGTTGTGTAAATAGCTTGAAGACGGGCTTCTACGGTCAGAAGGAGGTCTCGTTGGTGGCCTGTTTCCAAGGGTAGCCATTTTCCTAGTCACCGCCTCTTCCACTAAGGATTGGACATAATCTGTGACGGATGTGGTAGCCAAAGAGACGTCGTTTATCACTTCATTCCCGGTCAAAGTTGACGAGGTCGAGGGACCGTTCAAGTTCAATTCAGAAGTAATTTCACCCTGAATAGAGCCCTGTTCTGCCATACTAGACTAATGTTATGACTATGATACTCTCTATTCAAAAAACAAATTCTGACTTATAAGTAACAGAAATTTGTTGAGTGAATAGATCGTACGATATATATTGACTTGAAAATTTTTCCAATTACTCCTACGTGGCAAGAATTAAATATGAATACATAATGAGTTGGGGATCGATATTGGCCACTTGGGCCAGTCCACTTTTTTATAAAGGGGTGTTTTTTAGACTTGCCAATTACTCCAAATAAGGGGAGTAAGCATATGTCATGGAATAGGTTGGATTGTATGTAATAAACAATTTTTATTTACACCAACTTTATACTAGAGCTTGAAAATGTAAAAATAATATATGTCAACATATTGCGTTATGGAACGATTTGTAGGTAAGAAATAGATATATCTGTACATGTGGTTTTATATACAAATATCTGAAAAGTGAAACTCATTATTTGTATAATTCAAAGAAATTAATTAAAAGTTAGAAAACTAGAAAGAGAGAGACTTACTTATTTGCAGCCCCTATTTTACTGCTTGTTTTGTATTTCACATAGTCATCGAGAATTGTTTCCACTGTTGTCTTACATGGTAGAGTTACCAACTGAAAAAAAACAGGGTATCACATAATATTAAAATAGTGTTGTCTTGGATGGCGGAGTTACCACAAAAACAGCATGGTGACAAATATTACAATAGTGTTGTCTTGCATGGCAGAGTTACCACAAAAACAGCATGGTGACAAATATTACAATAGTGTTGTCTTGCATGGCAGAGTTACCACAAAAACAGCATGGTGACAAATATTACAATAGTGTTGTCTTGCATGGCAGAGTTACCACAAAAACAGCATGGTGACAAATATTACAATAGTGTTGTCTTACATGGCAGAGTTACCACAAAAACAGCATGGTGACAAATATTACAATAGTGTTGTCTTACATGGCAGAGTTACCACAAAAACAGCATGGTGACAAATATAGTGTTGTCTTGCATGGCAGAGGTCATAAAATTTGAGGTCATATATCATGTATATTTGGCATAAATCATACAATCGAGGTCTTGTTACGATTCAAATATGATAAACAGACAAGAAACATGACTACATGCATTTAAGAATTTTAGCGGTCATACATACTCCAATATAGACCAGCAAATCAATTGTTCTAGCTATTTTGATGTCATGTATCATATTAGAATAATAAATAAATATAAATAAAAACTCAAATACCTGTTTCTGCCTTGAGATAATATCCCAGTCATCAACAAGCCATGGCTTCAGCTCTTCTGGAACTTTCACTTTTACTTCAATCTTTGTCATAAAGGATTCCTCCTGAAAAACACAAATATGAGTAAGGTAATACTCATCTATACTGACTCTCAAATAATGAAAGAGGCTATCAAAAAACTCAAAACTTTTTGTCGTAATCATAAAACTTTGTAGCATCAACACATTGATGGAGAGTTCTTTCCTGAAAATACCCATCTTTGCTCACTCCACCTCCATGAGTGAAGTCCGGGCATGTGAAGATGGAAAATACCAAGGTTGGAGGAAAATTGCTCGTAATTTAGACACATTCTTGTTCCGTCCATAAGGTGGACTTGGATATTGATGAACAATTTCATAAACAAGTAAATGAATATTAAGTCATTCTCATAAGCTGTGCACCACAGATGTCATTTATAGAATGAGATAAATACTGATTCGAGATATGGAGAAATAATTTTAAAATGAGAGAACAATTTGAAACATTACCATGGACCATTTATCTCAGGTCTATTGTAGTTATACAAAACATTAAGCCCTTAATAACTCAATTTAATCTCAAGTTTTTGCAGCATATTTATTAAATTGTTTTGTTTTTCCTACAAACCATTATGATCAACTGTACAAAACCGTGAAATGAAAATCACACATTGATGTTTTAAATTGCAAAATAGAGTGGAAAAGATAGAAAGTAGCAAGGAATAAAATAAACACATATTTAGTCAACACTCAAAATTGTATAGAAATGCAAGAAAATCAGGCAGTTTATTCAAATTTTTAAGAGAATGGCATAAAAAAGCATGAGCAGACGGACATTTCAAAAAAGAGCAGACGGACATTTTAAGAATTTCTAATCGGCTCACATTTCTACTTGAAAGTCTCAATGATGAAGTTCACAGTTCTACTGCTCATGGTTTTGTTGGTGATTTCCATCACAGAAGGCAAGCCAGCAGCCAAAAAGAAAAATGTGAAACATAAGCCTAAACAGAATCCGATATGTAAACGCAACGATATAAAGAATCTGGCGACAGACATAGCGGGAATTCAAGCTGGGCTGAAAAACTGTTGCTCTAACAATGATGCACACAAATGTGAAGGTAAAAGTTTAAAGAGTTTATCAACACAAAACATATCAAATTAATTTCAAAAAAAAGTGAGAGGATGTCGCTTAAAAAATTTAATATAGTGACTCAAAGAGAGATCATTGAAAAGGCAACTCATGAAACTCATCCGCTGGACAGCCCATCCTCAAATAACAACATTACTCCAGCTATGCAAGTCTTGTATTCTAGATACTGTATGGAAGTAACTATGGGCATTTTAATTAAAAATCATCTCTAGGTGTATATTTTTTCTGTTACTTTTTACATGATTTTTATGGGACATACTTTTTTAAATACATAGGACCCATCGTTTTTAAACTGTTGGGTCCCTGGAACCTAATAAGGAACATTGCAATTGAGAGTGTTGTATATGGTATGTCTTGTATTCTGTTTCACCAGCCTTTCCAAGAGATTGCAGTGACGACTCAGATTTTACTGGCGTAAAAACCATCCAAACGGGAGAAGGGAGAAAACTAGAAGTCTACTGTGATGGCGGATGGCTTTATCTTTCCAGACGCTTTGATGGAAGTGTTGACTTTTATCGAACCTGGGCCGAATACCAGTTAGGTTTTGGCAATCTCGATGGGGAACATTTCCTTGGACTTGAGAACTTGGTGAGCATTTTGCGACAAGGACGGTACAAATTGCGGATTGATTTAACCATGTGGCCACCAACTAACCAACAAGCCTATGCAGAATATTCAGTATTCAATGTTGCAGACCAGTGTGACAACTATCGACTAGGTATTTGTTCAGTAATATCAAGGAAGTTAAGCTCTTTTTATCGTTTTTATAGTGACTTTCATGTTCAGTAAAAACGGTCTGTTGTTTACACTTTTAAATTCGCCCTTAACATCAATAATTTATTCCAAGGTATTGGCGGGTACAAAGGAACAGCGGGGGATTCGATGCCACATCACAACGGGCGGCAATTCTCTACAAAGGACAGAGATAACGATGACTATGGCTCGAACTGCGCAACCATGTTCTCAGGGGCTTGGTGGTATGGATTATGTCACGATTCAAACCTGTATGGACGTTATGCAAAAGGTCCAACATGTCCGAAAGTGAGCACATGCATGTCCTGGCAAAACTGGCCATCAAAGATTGGTACATCCCACAATGATGAGTATTCTTTCAAGAAGGCAGACTTGAAAATATATCCACTTTAAAAATTAGAGGACAACGCCACTGGGTACTGAAATATATGATTCTCACAACTTTCAATGTCTTGGAATTTAATAAATAAAACCTCCTCATCTTTCGACATCTCTCTAAAATAAACTCCCTTATCAAACCTGAATAGATATCTTTAGATAATGTCATAAACATTTTGAAATTTAAAAAATAGAATTCTTCAATTGCCAAAATTGTCATGCTGAAAGAAAATTGAATTGAAATTACAAAAATCTTATGTAAAAGTTTAATTGATCAGAATCAGATGTATTTTTACCATGGCTAAAATAAATGGAACATCATTGAACATTATTTTTGGACTATAATTCTGAGATCTTTAATTCCTTGAACATTATATCTACTGAAAATAAATCTACTTGTCGACATTAGCTAGATACTAATCTTGGAAATTATTAAGTTGATATTAAACATCAAACCAAAAAATTAACTATCATTAAAATTTATCCTAGAGATTTTAACCGAATTCCAGCTTATCTTTACAATTATAATTCACCAGAAACTGGCTTATTTTGAGTTACTTCACGAAAATGTCATATTTTTCATACATTTATTTTTCAAACTAAGCATGTTCAAAAAAGAAGAAAAAATGGTACCTGCTACACAGCAAGGTTAAATTGCTTTCTTATGAATAAGTTTGTCAAAAAGCTTCGTCTGTTACATCTCAAAAATTTTTGATTATGAAGCTTTTTGTCAAAATGCTTCATAAGGAAGCAATTAACCTACAGTGTAACTGTAAACCAATGTTTGTTTCATTAGACATTTTAGAAAATTATGAATCACTTATAACTTACAGATTCCACAGTTGCATCGGTTCTTGCTCTTTTCTTTTTAGGTTGGTCTCCAGTGTCTGTAGTTGCTAAAAATAAAAAGATTTCAAAAATTGTTGTTTTTCTTGATTATTCACAATAATAGGGAGGTTAAGTAACACATCAGAGAATTCATATGTGAGCATGTCTTAAAGAGAGTTTATATGTGAGTATGTCTTAAAGAGAGTTTATATGTGAGTATGTCTTAAAGAGAATTTATATGTGAGAATGTTTTAAAGAGAGTTTATATGTGAGCATGTCTTAAAGAGAATTCATATGTGAGCATGTCTTAAAGAGAGTTTATATGTGAGTATGTCTTAAAGAGAGTTCATATGTGAGTATGTCTTAAAGAGAGTTCATATGTGAGTATGTCTTAAAGATAGTTCATATGTGAGTATGGCATAAAGGGAGTTCATATGTGAATATGTCTTAAAGAGAGTATATATGTGAGTATGTCTTAAAAGAGTTCAAATGTGAGCAAGTCTTAAAGAGAGTTCATATGTGAGCATGTCTTAAAGGGAGTTCATATGTGAGTATGTCTTAAAGAGAGTTCATATGTGAGAATGTTTTAAAGAGAGTTTATATGTGAGCAAGTCTTAAAGAGAATTTATATGTGAGAATGTTTTAAAGAGAGTTTATATGTGAGCATGTCTTAAAGAGAATTCATATGTGAGCATGTCTTAAAGAGAGTTTATATGTGAGTATGTCTTAAAGAGAGTTCATATGTGAGTATGTCTTAAAGAGAGTTCATATGTGAGTATGTCTTAAAGATAGTTCATATGTGAGTATGGCATAAAGGGAGTTCATATGTGAATATGTCTTAAAGAGAGTATATATGTGAGTATGTCTTAAAAGAGTTCAAATGTGAGCAAGTCTTAAAGAGAGTTCATATGTGAGCATGTCTTAAAGGGAGTTCATATGTGAGTATGTCTTAAAGAGAGTTCATATGTGAGAATGTTTTAAAGAGAGTTTATATGTGAGCAAGTCTTAAAGAGAGTTCATATGTGAGCATGTCTTAAAGAGAGTTCATATGTGAGCATGTCTTAAAGGGAGTTCATATGTGAGCATGTCTTAAAGAGAGTTCATATGTGAGCATGTCTTAAAGAGAGTTCATATGTGAGCATGTCTTAAAGAGAGTTCATATGTGAGCATGTATTTATTTTCCTGATTGAGCATTTAAAGGCATATAAGGAAAATAGTATCAGATCCCTTGAAAAAACAACTGAGGGGAGAGTAATCCCTTAAAGTTATAATATAACATGTTGCCATAGAAGTTCTCTTAAAAATGTTTAGACTGTAAAAAGAATCACACCAAACTACCATTCTTCAAATAGTTTTAACTTTATCATTGATGAAAAACTACTGTCTAAATACACTTAGACACAACATAAGATTTCTCATATTATTCAAAATTTTATTATATTTCAACCCAAACACTTGGTTTCCTCAAAAAATCAATTACATGACATTTACAAATAATACTACAGTTATATAGTAAAATACATTGGTTAACAAACATTTGAATTCAATATGACTATCATACAATCTATTTCTTTCCTTTTTAAAATAGCTCCCGACATTGATTGAAAAATAATAAAGTGCTGTATAATGTACCTTTAGTCTTTGATGCCATGAGTTTCTCCCCAGATGGTGTTGAAGCTCGACTACTTGTACTGCGTGTTTCTTCCCTCTCGCGATCCTGCTTGTTACCTCTCCCTGGGGGTGCTCCACTTCCTGGGCCTGACCCCCTCAAGCGTTTGTTCTTCCTGTCGAAAGAATATTCATGTATTATGAATATTGAATTATTATTCAAAGCATGAATTCAATTGAAAGATGGGGATACATTTTTGAATTTTGCATATTCCTGTATGTGACCAAAAACTGCCATTGGCCGAATTAAAAATGGATGCCAGATTTGACCAAATTACAAGACTCTCTTTGATATTTGTAAACTATACTTACGCATGAGCCTTCTGTAGTTCCTTTTGTTTCTGTAAACCTTGTTCATTGTGCTTCATAATCCTGCTCTCTGGCACCCATTCATCCCAGCTATAAGTACACAACACATTCAATAAAATACATGATGTAACATGGGGCAATACAAGGCATTAACATGCAAAATGTAACCATGTTACAACATGGGGGCAATACAAGGCATTGACATGCAAAATGTCACCACCTAAGATGTGTTACAGATGCCAAACGCTGAACATTGATGGCCAAACGCAGAACACCATACACAAACAGTATGAGACGATAAATATATATTAAGTGAGTGTTAAGTCAACACACTCAATGAAATATAACCGATGCAGTATGGGTGTAAGAGAAAAATTCAATGAAACAATAATAATGGGACATGAGGAAGTAGGGAAGAAACCAAAACATGTAATAAATGGATTACATGCAAAATAATATTCCTTTAAAATTCACTTATCCAAGCTATTGCTGAAACACTGGACACCAATGGCCAAATGATATCATATGGAAAATTGGCACAGACGCTGATATAAAAAATTGTGGCTATAACAAAATTTTCCCACTTTTTGGTAGTGGCATATAAACATATTTACCTCTTGTTCCAGCCACTATAGTGTATTAGGTAGCGGAGAGCTTTGTCTTTCACTTCATGCTTGACACACTGGAACCAAAAAAAGTAAAATATTAATAATTTGGGGTCCAAAGTGCACATTTTTTAATTTTCGTAGGACCCCAGAGTGAAGTCACAATTTTTATATCATTTTAAAGCTTATAATCTATGGGGTCGTGCTTTTAAAAATGTTGCAAAAAGAAGAGACTAAACCACATATAAAACTGAGGTCATACAGTGAATCATATTGTTTACCAAAAATATATATCTTATTTGTAAATTCAATTTCTTCATTTTAAGCAAATTAAATAAGTTGTACAAACTTTCAATATTTTTATTAGGGACTCCTGTTAATTTTTAGTTCTTACCTTTGCTTCATACATAAGAGGCCCATGAAAGCACAGAACTTTTTCACCTGCAAATATCAGTTTGAAATGAATTGAACATGAATTCAATTTTTGATTTCAAGTTCATGTACATGTTCATGTATTCTTTACAATTTCATACTTTTTGTGGCAATAAATTGTTATTGAATTCTGTTTACATCTGGATACAATGTATTTCCTTAATGGAAGTAGAGGGGTCTATAGATATAAAAGGTTAGATGAATCTTCAAAAATGGAACAATATGGCTTGTCACCTAAAGACTAGAACATGTAAGATCAAGGATTTTCAGAATACAAAAATTGAAACAAGGGTCTTAAAACCTTTTTACTTGGTTTGATGGACTCCCAGGTTCACTCCAAATACAACCTTCAATATAATGGTCAGTAAATGATTAAATCATGTGCACAGATGATGAATTACATAAGGGCAAAGGGGTATAACATCAACACCATTTTTGGGTGACTTCGACATATGGGACCCTTCTGCAACTTGATGTTAATTTCTGATCTAGGGGGAACCCATGTTTTTTTGTCATATGGATCGAGATCTCATGAGATTTCATTTTCCAAGAAATCAAACCAGGGGCGAAAAACGGAAATTCTAATAAGTAAGTGTCAAAGTTACCCCATTTCTCATGTTGACATTATCCCACACATCGACGTTACACCCCTTTGCCCTTCATAAGACAACTACAGTAATTACAAACCTTCGCTAAACTTGGGCTTTGGTGCCATCTCTAGTCTGATTCCTGTGTCCTATATGATACCCTGCTTTTTCTTCAGATCCCTACTACACTTATCAAAAACAATAATTCAGTTCATAAATCGGATCAATTCATGAACCTGAGCCTTCAGTTGGTTCAGGCTTGGGCTTTGTTGTTTGTATGATTCCAATTTCAATTCGAATAGTCTTTTAGTTTAGTCCTTTTCTCAGGTCCAAATTGATTTTATACAGAATAAAAGTATTCACCTATACTTAATTATCACCTACATCGATGTAATGTGTGATGAAACATAAGAAGTTCAACAATATTTGAAGAAATTTATTTTATTTTCACGCTCCAAAATTTGAAAATTTCTACTTATGGTATCAAACATTAGTTTTATCAAATAAATTAAACTTCTGGTTTTTCTAACTAAAATAAATTTTCAGACAGAAATAGTACCCTTGCCAAATAAAATGTAAAAAATATACTTTACTGCTCGATCAGGTGTGCCTTAATATCGTATAACCGCAATTATAAAAATGTAAACTCACAAGGTCATGTCTGCTGACAGCATTAGAATTAAATACAAAAATGGCTTTTTGGAAATCTCTTCTAAATCGGAGATTATGTCATATTCCTGGACACTATTTCAGTTAGTACTTTAAATGTTACTGTCCCGTGTAATATTCTACTATATAAGGTGCAAAATTAATAAGTGTTACCTCCATATCCAACGAAACTGACGAAATGCGATTTACTGGGCGATAATATGTGAAATTTCTCATGCTTTGGAAAATAGTGGTGGGACTCGCCACCAAAATCTCTACTCGAGTAGAATGATAAATTTGACGATCGAGTAGACGATTTTGGCGATTATTTTTTTAAAAAATTGAGAAAATTAGAACCTGGAAAATCAAGGCACCATTCAGTGATGTAGTTCTGAATGGATTGAGTTCCGTTTTGGATGTTTTAGACGCACATTTACCGTATATTAGCAATGATATAAGCCTTTTATGGATTTTTTCTACTTTGAAATTCCCACTTCCGTCAAAATACATATGCGCATGCGCATACGATAAACCGGATATAAACAAACATAAAAGCAATGAATACGATTCTCATACTTTTTCTCATCAACTGACAATTAAATCAACAAAACAATCTGCAGAATATAGTCAAAAGTATGTAATTTATTAGAAAAACGTAAAGGCAGCTACAATCCTTGCTAAATCGTGAGTATGGAGGGTAAATCGCGATTTTTCTCAGAAATTTTCAGGATCACGATTTTCAAATTTTCACTCGATTGATCGTTTTTCTAGGCTCATTCGAGTTCTAGTCGATTACTTGAGTCACTCGTTACACCACTAGAAATGAAGGATTGGCTTGTAGGGTCCCAACTGATATTCTGCCGTATATGATTTTTCAACAAGAAAATGCAGCAAACTCCTCGAGTCGAGGTCTCCAAGTCAAAAAATGCCTGACCCTCTCATATATCTGTTGATTATCCCTGTTTTTAATTGATTCAAGAGCGTTGCACTGAACGAACCTATATTCCTATTTGTTTAGTTGTTGGTTGGGTAACATGTTTATGACGTCACAAATGATGTGAAGAATCTTTAAACCAATCAGTGAAGTCTATATTAATTGTTTGTTTAGTTGTTGATGTGGCAATATGTGTCTGACGTCACGGGTGATTGCATCATATTCCCGTCACGCCATTTTACGACATTGCATAATTTTAGCTGAGGAGACCTCGAAAAAAATGTGCCCAATATATTGCTTTAAATAATGTTTTGGACATAGTGCGCTATTATGAAATATCATTCATCTATTATAGGTAAAAGGAGTCTTCTCTCTGAGGCATATCTCTGTAATGATGCATGGCTTGCCAGATTGAAGTCACCTGCCTTACAGAAACTTGATCCAAGTAAGTATTTTACCCAACACCTGTCTTTCCAAAATTTTACAACGATCTCCCTAGGATTTTTTCTCAGGTGCGTGTGGGCGTGCGTGATTTTTATCATTTTCAAGTAGGTGCAAATGAATTTTCATGTGGGTGCAGGCCTATTTTCAAAATCTCAAGTGAGTGCTGCACCCACTTGGTTTAATGCTGGGGAGATTATAAGATGATTACGGTTTATAGGCATATTTTGCCTGTTTAAGGTACAGCTGGAAAGTAACATTTTGGTAAAAAATTGCTATACCAGCACATGTTATTTTCTGGTTCAAAGTATGAAGGCATGTGTGTATTTCCTTGCTTTTTTCAGGAAAGCATCATTACACTGTCTACTTTTAGTAAACCTGGAAACAGGTCAGTGGTAAATCCTGTGTTGTCTGGAAACTTTGAAAGAAAATTTGGAAAAATAGAAAATGTGAAATATCAGAATTTCCTGGAGTTCCCATTGAACTGCTACCAGATATTCTAAAAGAAGACAATGTAATGATACTTTCCTGAAAAAAGCAAGGCAATATTGACACATGCCTTCTTTATTTTGTACCAGAAAATAACATGTGCAGGTATAACAATTTTTTACCAAAATGTTACTTTCCAGCTGTACCTTAACTAATCAATACTTAAGGTTAGTAACGATGTATAAAATAATAGTCCACTGTATAATCATATTTCATTGGGTGATTGTACCAGTGGGAGTCCGATCTGTTTTGGAACTGATTAACACTTTGGGCATTTACTACCCATTCTGATATACAATTCCATTGTTGTACCACTCTCTGGCTAAATGTATGCTGTCTTTTGGATGTTTTACAATGTGACTTTAATAGATACTGGGTGTTACATCTTCGCGCGCGTTGTGGTAACTCTTGCGGGAGTAGACCAGGAAAATGTAGTTCTGTATTCACATTTTAAAGGTTATTAATGAACTTGTATGTCTCTAATCATATCTCCTCTGAGTTGTCTAAATGCAAGTGTTGTCATATCTAGGACCATGGGCTTTCAATGAAGCCCATGCTAGGACCTAAGACGTTCAGGGTTTGAGTGTGCCCTCAGTGATGGAATTATTTTTGTCGCTCTTTTTTGTACATTCTCAATGATTTCAATATCCTTCTTTAGATATGGATTCCAAACTGCATTTGCAGCTAATTTAGGTCTCACTAGTCCATTGAACAATAACCTAAAAGAGTCAAAGTCCCAATATTTGAAAGATCATTTTATCATGTATACCCAGGGTTTGAATTGCTTTATTTGCTTCTGATTGTCATTTTATCATTCTTGCTATTGTTTCGCAAGGTATAATCACATTCTGCATTTCTCCTTCCTATTGTAAATGCACACTGGCGGATCTGGGGGGCCCAGGGGCCCACCTCCCCCCCTTAGGTGGGCCCAGAAAAAAAATTGGCCCCAAAAAAGGCCTTAGGGCCCAATAAGTGGGCCTTTTGATCATAAATGGGCCTACTAAGGCCTTATTTTTAACTTTAGGCAAAATTTTGAAGAAAATGGGCCTCAAAATTTGGGCCTACTTTTTAGTTTTAGTGGCCCAAAATTTTTTCTAAGACCAGAATTTTGGGCCCCCCCCCCTTGTTGATTCCCAGATCCGCCCCTGATGCAAGACTGAACACTTGCTTGTATTCATTTTTAACTGCCATTTACTGTAATTCACTGACATCTGCAGTTTTTTACATTATTTACAGTTATACACCCATTCTTCTTATCAGCCTGGTGTATCATACCAAAGAAAGGTCAATAAGTTATTATTGTCAGCTTGGAGTCTCTGATCTGCATATTTCTAGATTTACTGTTTGTCGGATTTATATTTTCATTGATGTGGCTTGCTATGAATGCTAGGATTGATTAAGCTCTTGGTGTGCTAGGTAAACAAGATGGCTTTTTTATTGAATTTTAAGAAACAAATTCTATGCTATAAAAGTCCATGTGAAGTATGGCAAGTGATTTTAGATAGTCATATCTTTAACCACGAGTACTTTCTGGGTATAAATGCAGTGTTTTTTATTAAAACAATATGTTTTCTTTCAAGCGAAGTACCCATAATGATAAAAATATCAATCAAACAATTCGAAAATTATTAATAGGGACCCCATGTCAACATTTTTTTCAAAATGTTGAATCTATTTACTCAAAAGTGGATCTTCTTTTCTGGTTTTTATTGCTTGAAAAGATTATTCAACAAGAGATCTAACATTTCTTTAAAAGTAGAATGGTATTGAAAGTCTAGTTTTGAAGATATCTATTTTCGATGACCAAAATTATGCTGAAAACAATGGATAGCACGAGTTTTCCCTATGGGAAAATCATATGGGATATGTTTTTTTTAACTTTAACGCATTTCAATACACGTCGCCTTTTCAGAAATTGTTAATATATATAATTTTTCAATATGTTCAAATTGAGAAAAACAAGATCCTCTTTTTAGAAAATGAAAAAAGTGCCAGGTGGGATCCTAATCCATTATTTTTCAGAGAGTTGGATTGATATTTTACTACCATGGGGACTTCCCTTGAAAGAAAACATATTGTTTTATAGAAACCAATGTATTGTATTGTATTGTATTTTGCTTACCACCAATGAAGGTGAGCAATACCTCTTGGGTATGTCGTAATTTACGTAATTAACCTGGAAGATAGACCCAGATCAAATCCGGGACCTGTTGCGTAAGAGGTACATGCGCTACCGCTGAGCTACACGATGACCAGACTTGATGGCCAGAAAGTACATGGTGAAATATATGACTGTCTAAAATCACTTGCCGTACTGCACATGGATCTTTGTATCAAGACACAGAAGTGTGAAACTGTCCAATGAAAGTTTCATTTTTCTCAAGAAAAATAAGTATAGTGTAGTATGTTTCTTTCAGATGAACTGGTACCTAAGCTGCATGAAAAACTTGACAAAGAAGCTCAGATCTGCCCCCTGGATTTTGATCTGGTAAGACTTTGATTTGCAGTGTGAAAAACTTAGTAAAATGGATCTTAATCTTATTTTCTTTTTAAAGACAGAAACTTTTATTATCATACTTTCATATTTATATTACCATACTTTCATATTTATATTACCATACTTTCATATTTATATTACCATACTTTCATATTTATATTACCATACTTTCATATTTATATTACCATACTTTCATATTTATATTACCATACTTTCATATTTATATTACCATACTTTCATATTTATATTACCATACTTTCATATTTATATTACCATACTTTCATATTTATATTACCATACTTTCATATTTATATTACCATACTTTCATATTTATCATGCAATATAAAACTAAATATGTCTGACATACTCAATGTCATCAACACATGCTATCAGAAAAGAATTAATGAAGCCATTTGATTATCTAATTTCCCCCACTAGTGTCAAACAAACTTCCCAAAGTTTATGTATTTTATTGTATTATATACACCCTTATTTAAACAGTGTAGTGTTGTAGTTGTTTGTATTATCATCTAATATTGTAGATTTTAGCTATACTCATGTACATTGTTTTTGTGGTAATGCAATAAATAAATTATTAATTTTTTTAATTTAATATTTTCAGTTGGCTAATCGCCTACATGAGCTAGAGGGCACAATGTTACAGTATGGGGAAAGCATCATTACAAGGTAATTATGTAGGGATTTAGGAAAATTAATCAATAAATCAATCATTTTAAAGGGAACATTTGTTCTAAATGCTCGTTTTGCCCCTGGTTTTTGGAGATATTAGAATCCCTAGATATTCTTTCAGCAGGAAATATATAGGCAGAGAAAAAGATGAACATGTATTCAAAAAATGGACAAGGGTATTTAGACTAAAAACAATAAACATGTATGTATGTATGTATGTATGTATGTATGTATATTTATTTATTTAAGTGCCTCGTATAGAATACCCAGCCTATTTTAGGCTTATGGGGCACATTGTACAATATATTTGAAAACAATATTATAATAAGATTATTTAAACGAAGCTTGCTCTTTTGATAAGAGCAGCATTCAGGAATTTTCCAGTATGGCGCACTAATCTAAAGTCATGTAATAAAAGTTTCAAAAGTTCATCATCAATAATAAGTTCTTGTTTTTGTAAAATACGTTTAACAGACAAAAATAAGTCTTCTCGTAGATTTTTATATGATGGGCATACTAGTAAAAAGTGGAACTCGTCCTCAATAATGGATATATTATCGTTCTTACAATGTAAGCAAAGTCTCTGGTCAACTGGGGTGGATCTATATCTTCCAGTCTCCAGCATTAAAGGTAATGTGCCTGATCTTGCTTTTGCAAGCAATGATCTGAATGTCCTTGGTAAACAGATCTTGACATAGTCTTCTGTTTCAAATGATGTTTTAAATGTCCTATAAGTCCTTAGTTTTGGCATATTAGCAATCTTAAGTTTCCATTCTTCGATGTATCGTTGCAGTTCCGCTGTTTTAACAGAATCGAGGATGAGTGAACTATCTCCAAAGTGTCTCGTTTCATATTCACGTTGTAAATTAGCAGATATAAATATTTCCCTTACATCCTTGCACCAACATTTGTGTCCTAAGATAGCATTTTCATAATCAAAGTCGAAAATTCTTCTAGTCAGCCTATCTCTAGGCATTTTGCTTAGTCTAATAAAGAGTCTCACCATCTCCAATCGGTGTCTGATGTTAGGCGGTATCCATCCCATATCACCGTAAATTGCTGGAAGGGGAGCGTATTTACCCAGGCCAAGAAATGTTCTCATTGCTCGATTTTGTACTAGCTGTGGTTTGCTAAATTCCTTATATCCCCAAACTCCTGATCCATAGTCCATGATCGGGGCAATAGCACTGTCGTATATCTTAGTATATGTGCTAAAGTTTAATCCATTTATGGAAAAATGTTTGCTGATAAGTCCACCAAGTGCACGACCACTGGATTCAGCTAATGTTGTTGCAGTTTCGGTGTAATCCAGTGTCTCGTTTAAGATAAGACCGAGATAACGATACGATTTTGTTATCACTAAATTAGAATTTCCAAACGTGAAATTAAAATCAGTTTTTGGCCGTGCAGCCCGTCTGAAATGTGTTACTTGGGTTTTCTCTGTATTTACAGATAGACGCCATTTCGTTGTCCATACGTACATTGTATCTAACATTAATTGTAAATCCTGTTCCGTTGACGCAATGAACACCATGTATGTATAATTGTATATTGCAGGGGTTTCACTGGAATTTCTCACAACAGGCTAGATAAATGAAAACAAGCAAATTTAATGGAAATCATAAATTAAACATGAAAAAGTCCTTAAAAACAACAGGCGATTTTGTGAGAAAAAATGATGAACATCGCCTGTTGCCTGATATTGTATGTTTATTTATCTATTTAATTATCTATAATTTACTTTTTACTTGACATTGAATTAATGAAATTATTCCAGGTACAGAAAGTGTTACCAGGCCAGAAATGTTCGTCCATCAACTAGTCACACAATCATTAGAGCATACATGGAGATGCAGAATATAGAAAAACTACTAGAAATACTCAAGGATAAGGTATTAACTAACTTTTTAACAGTTTATTACCAATGTTGTAAATCATATATGCCCCATGCTGTCATTCTCTCAGTGCCAAAGGTAGGATTGAAACCTCTGCCATCTTTTGGTATATCAAGGAAACTATGATATATTGGCGTGATTGGTACTGTCATAGCTTGTAGTGGTGTCAATTAACTGCTTGAGCATTAACCGGTTAACCGGGTGTTTTTACCGGTTAAAGTCGGTTAACCGGCGTGAAATTTGAACTGATAATGTATCACATGTATGAGTAGCTCATATGAAACTGACGCTTTAAAAACAAACAGATTAACATGCAAAGTAAGCGCGGGAAAGCAATGTGGCAGGGATTAAAGTTGCTAATTGGATGTTTGTAAGGAGTTATCGAACTTATGACATGTAGGAGTAGCTTACGTGAAACTGACACTTTAAAACCAAACAGATTAGCATACAATATAAGCGCGGGAAATAACAGAATTATACACGGTCAACTAACCACCCATAAAAACACAGACCGGTCAAGGCATTATCGGCGGTTAACCGGTTAACCGGTTAATACTTGACACCTCTAATAGCTTGTACTTTTCAACATTAGCAATTAGTTAGCCTTGCCCAAGTCGGTATTTTTTACTTATCTGATCTTGAATTATTACCGCCTTGTACAATTGAATACATCATCTCTGATACTATGATAAGTCATTCAGCGGTTTCGAGATTTCCATAATTCCTACGCTGTCAGGGGTATCGCGAAACCATATTGATTGACAGATCGCATGGAAATCGACGTGTGACTTCTGGCTGATTGACCAATCAAAACGTTTTCAGTTAAACAAAGCAAACTACCCGTTTAAGTTGAAATTCAATGATCTGATCATGTATTTCTTCAGAGTTACAATATATTATGTAATTAAATGTACATTGGAATGTAAGCAGTCATTAATAGAAATTAAATCATGCGATCCTACGTTGATTTAAATTGAATTTGCGATGAAAATGCACGAAGACCGAGTCCATGTTATGTAGTCGTCGATCTAATTCACTGGTGATCCACTCGATTACGCTGGTTACGAAACGGTTAGTTTTGGTAACAAAATGTCGGAACGTCGAAGGTAGGATTTTTCTCTTTTCTTTATTTCACACGTTGTAGGCAGAATTCCCACGACATTTTTTAATCATATGTTTAAGAAAATGTACATATGTGCGAACAAATAGTTCAGAAGACAACAGAATCGTCGATTTAATTCTTCACTTTAGTTACATAAACGGTTTTTTCGAAAAACAGTTAAGATCTGCACTTTTAACCCAAACCATTTATGTAACTTAAGTGAGGAATTAAATCGACGATTCTGTTGTCATCTGAGCTATTTTTCGCAAACATGAACATTTTCTAAAACATATAATAGTCATATACGTTTGTGAGAAAAAATGTCGTGGGGATTCTGCCTACATCGCGTGAAATAAGGAAAAAAGAAAAATCGTACCTTCGACGTTCCGACATTTTGTTACCAAAACAAACCGTTTCGGTAACCAGCGTAATCAAGTGGATCACCAGTGAATTAGATAGGTAATGTATATAATGACTATTTACGATGGTGACATCCATTAGCTAACTCTTATTTTTTACATTTAATGATGAAAATGAAAACATCGAAATAGACAGAGCAATAACTCATTTGTTCAACTATTTTTGCTGATTAATTTGACAAGCTGCACACCTTCCTTTTGAAAGTGAGGAGTCGTGGGTTTGATCCCCACTAGACATGGACTGACTTTTTCACATCAGCCCTTAGCGTAGAATTTCATTCTGTGTTTTTACTAACTAATCAATTTTTAAAGATTTTTATTCAACATTGTGTTAATGGTGATTTAGCCCAGCCTTTTTCAAAAAAGTTAAAAATCCTTGGAAATTGAATAAAATTGAATAACTGTGTAAATCAAGGTTCTACTCGAAAATTATTCACGACTCAAATACGAGTATATCATCTGTTTTGTAGATCAACAATGGTGTTTTCTGCGACAATTACTCGGGAAATATGCTAATGGACCACTTTATCAAACAGGAGAACTGGGATGGTAAGTTTGATTTTAATCCAGTGTATTTACCTTAGTGTAATGACCCTCGATAGCGTGTCTGAACTACAGTCTCGGCTGTAGTGGCTAGCCCCTTTAGTTAAAGCAGAAGAGTGTCAGATTTGTGAGTGGAAGGTCCTGGATTCGATTCCCGTATGAAGCATTGAATTTAGTACACTCTCTTTCATGTCTAGTATCTGGCTCTTTACCTGGATTAGCATGCCCAGGGTCGTTACACTCGCATCAATAAAAAAAAAATCCTTGTATTTGTCCTCTCATTTTCTATACTATGTAATGCCATCTGCAGTGTTGGGTTGGACTGATTTTCACACGAGTCTAGCGTATGACTTCATTCTGTTTTCTCACCCTTGAAATATCTATTATCTCATATGCCATCTATTTTACTTTATAAAGTCCATGTACATGAAAATAAATGTCATCTGTGCATTCTAATCTGACAGGCTAATGTCTGATTGATGTTAAACTTCTGTTCAAAACTTCTTTTTTCAGGGTCACTACTTTTATGAATACTGTACTTGAATAAGTAGGTTATAACCAAAAAACATTTGATTGGTGGTTTACATTTAGCTAAAACATTAAAGGCGTTCTATGTAGTTTTTCTTTATTAGATATTTGCTTGATTTTGGTCATTCCTAACTGAGGCACTTATAGTTTAGGATCTTATGTTTAAAGTTAGATTGATTATCCTCGATCAATCAGGTTTACTTATCTATAGTCAATTAATTTTAGTTGTTAAAATACAGTAAAGACTGTCAATTGAAACACTTCCCAGGACTGTAGCCACGATTCGCCAAGGGGGTTCACTTTTTAAAAAATTCCAGGGGGAGTTCACTTTTGACAACGTTGGCCCAAAAATGGCCAAAATCACTTGAAAATTGCTCAGAATGATGAAAAACTGCATGATTTTGAAAGAATTTTGGCCAGGGGGAACCCGAACCTCCTCGCTACAGGCCTGCGTCCATAAGTGGAACATATTGGGACCCATTGACTTAATCTGTTAAAGTGGAACAACTCCCTAGGGGAACACTTTTGTTGTCCGAAGGTGTTCCTTTTACATAGTATTTACTGTAGAACTATTTAAAGCCTAACCTTTGACTTTGGTCTCATGTACCCCATATAAAAAGCACCCATCACCAACAGACCGTAATGCAATCAATTTGAAATTCTATTCGCATAAAATGATTCATATAACTCAGGTCCTTGTAATCAAATAGGGGAGTTGTTGTTCTAGATTAAAGATCAAAATTATCTCAATTTATCAGAATAAGATATAGTATGTGAATCATAAGCACATGAGCAAGCTGTTCAAATTCATGTTCCTCTGACTTGAGGAATGGAAATAGTCAAGACATCAACAGTCAGAAGATGTCAACACTTGCAATATGTCATCATATAAAATATGTCAACAGTTAAAAGATGTCAATATTGAAGATGTGTCAGCAGTCAAAATATGTCAATAATAGAAAATGTCAATGTTCAAACCTACCACTGTTTTGTGAAATCTTACAATGCAATTTAACAATAACCCAAAAATGAATTATTTATTTCATGACATTCTATTTCCGTGACAGAACATATGTAATATGCATATACAGTTTATATAAAAATTAAATAATTTGAATGTGTATACAGAGATTTCATTGTAATTTTGAAGAAAAATGCTCTCAGCCCAGTACAGTTTAACAAAAATACAATAATATTACAATAAGCTATAAACAATCACATTAAACAATAACTTTTATATTGTGTTAATAAATTAAGGAATAAATAATGATAGGCCATTTAATATGGTGAAATTCAGCACGAGTTGGACAGAATGTTATACAAAGCACGAACCAAAGATGGGTGCATTTGTACTGGCATTCTGTCCAGAATGAGTGTAGAATTTCACCATATTGAATGGCCTGTCATTTTTTATTCCGATTCTAACATAAAAAGGAAAACCTTGTACAGAGTATTGGGGATTTATGTCAATGAAATAACCAAACTGTTATTCTTAAACATGTTCTTCAGGTTGGATAATCAAATCACAAAAAAAAAATTTCTTTTCTTTTTAAATAAAGGTTGTGAAAAGAAGGAAAATATATTTTTGCAAACTGTTATTTTCGCCATTCCCAGGTGTGACGTCATAATACAACACAATACATATACATAGATTCCTGGAAGCAGATTAATAGAGCACAGTCGTGCATGTATGGAGAAATAATGAATGTTCATTATTGGCTATGCTGCATTCTGATTGGTTTAGAAATTCAAATAAAGCACGGTCATGTTTGAATAGGTTAATGTTGAATTTCAGCATATTATACTTCTTTCAAAATATATATTGCACTTCTTTGAACAAATTTTGATGGCTACTTTTTTGTGGTTGAGGTTGAGGTCATATTTGTCATTTTTGGATTTTTGAGTGAAGTAAAAATAAAAAGAGCCTTGTCTTGTTTTCTCATAAAATTGTGCCAGAAAAAAATGTAACGGAATGTAGGATACTAGGTAGGTTGAATGAAAGTTCACGAGTTCATTACGTTCAAAATTTAGAATCAAGTTTTTGAGACAGAATGATTGCTCCTTGAGAACAATTTCATACTGCATTAAAAGATTGTAAATGTCTCTTTGAGATTTAAATTTTTTACGAATGATGTTTATTGGGTGTCAAAACATATTTGCTTACTTCATATTGATATGGTTTAATTATCAATAATGCTCTCCGTAAAAAGTGCAAATATTGTACTGAACAAATATTGTACTATGTATTATTGTATCATGCAAATATTGTACTGTACAAATATTGTATTCTGCGGGTTTCTGTCAGATCCTCAGTCACATAGTATCGAAATTCTACCATGCATTGGATTTTGAAAAATAGGCATATTTTGACCAAATATGGCTTAAATTATGAAAAAAGAATTTTGCACCCACTTGAGAAGAAATTCTGGGGAGAACACTGCGAGAAACCAATGTTACGCCTCATTAGAAATTCAAACATGACTGTGCTCTATTCGAATTTCTCAACCAATCAGAATGCAGCATAGCCAATATAGAACGTTCTCTAATTCTCCATAGATGCATGACCATGCTCTTTTCAATCTGCAATTTGCATTGTTTTGAGTGATGTCACATCTCAGCTGCACATCTGGGGCTCTGTCCGGGGATAGCTGTTCTTTTTTACTCCCTCCGTAACTACTGTAACTATTTAACTATGGCTGACTTCAAGTTTATACATCGTATAAAATCTAAAACGGGGAGTAAAATAGAACAGCCCAAACAAATTCTAAAAATTTTCCGGCCGACTTCAGAATCTTGACAGCATGCGTATTCTTCCTTCATGCCCGTTCCACAGACACGGCTTTTACTAATTCACTCACCTTCGGTTCGTGCTTTGTACAACATTCTGTCCAACTCGTGCTGAATTTCACCATATTGAATGGCCTATCATTATTTATTCCTTAAATGAATGAATACATCAATCAAGTCTAACAGATAACATAGAATCAAAATTCTACCATGCATTGGATTTTGCATGTTTAATCTCATTTTCATCACAAACTGTCGTCATCGTATAAGTCTGTTCTTGACCACCATCTTGAGTAGATGATGTTTTACTTGTCGATCTCACGTAGCCTTTATTAATGCCCTTATTTGAGCATTGGAACATTTTCTTCAGTTGCGCTCTGAATCTTCCACCGAAGAAAAAATAAACGAGAAAATTAACTGAAGAATTTATAATGACCAACAGATTCGAGACTAACATTAGCATAACCAGAGCAGTCGAGTTGTTATCTGTAAAGCTCTTAGGTGCAATTGCGTCTTGAAAGTTCGTAACTGGTGATAATGTCCCACATAGGAAGAATACTAGAACGATACAGAGGCATATTTTCGTGACTTTTCGTTCCCTCATTTGTGTTGTAGACATCGATGGCATTAGTTGCGTTTCTTTGTTTAAGGCCAATATTATGCGTATATTCAAAATCAGGAGAAGCATCAGGGGAATACAAAACAATAAAAGAAAGTACAATATGCCACAGTATAAGTATCGGTATACTTCGTTTGCTCCAACGATTGATTTTTCGGGAGATGTATATTCCGCCAGTCCATCTTTGTTAACCTGAAGATATTCAAAAAACCTAGGAATATTGTACAGCATACATCCTATTGTAATGCAAATGCAGGCTATCCGAGCAGTTTTTACTGTACATACACTTTTAGCTCTAAATGGATTACAAACTGCATAATAACGATCAAATGAAATAAAAACTGTGAGCCAAACACTCGACATCTGGGCAGCCATGGCAACGGGCCAAATAAATGGAACGTTCACCATTTTTGCCATGTTGATGGCAACCTCTTGGTTACCATATGTCATCATGAGTGAGAATATTACTTGAATCTGCATAGCAGTTACCAGAAAAATTGTATCGCAAACAGCCAGACATCGGAGTAGATAAGATGTTGACGAGTCTCGTTCGCGTGACAAAATAGTGAACGATAACATATTTCCCACAATTCCAAATACTCCAATTATAGCCGGAAAGTATATACTGAAGAGAGTTATGGGTAATGCCTCCTTTGGATATGTTGTGGCATTTGATGTCAGGTTGACATCATTTGATGTCATGTTGACATCATTTAAACTCATATTTATGTCTGTTGTTTGGTCCATTTCAATATTTTATTACTCCTTTATTGTCTGTCAAAGGTCCTGTTTCTGAAAGTTACGTGTTTTGAATATTAATCTAAACCAATCCCTATTATTTAAAGGGACATCTTTTTCGTACAGTATGTTTGTTCCTATCTATCCATATTAAAGTTCCTTAAAGGCTCTTGCTTCTGATAAAGATATGAATCTGATTGCATTAATGTTTTTTCTTCCAGTAAAATAGTGATACTCATTAATTAAAGTTTATGTCCATTTCAAGGGGCCTCATTTCTCGTAGAATATCATTTTGTGATAATCCATATTTTTGTTGTAACTCATTTCAAAAATGTTCAGAAAATCCATCATATTTTGAGTTCAGTTTTTGGCTCCTTTAAATCATTGTATTTTAAATAGACTCCTCCTTCACTTAAAAATAGCTGACAGTGAATTCTATTTGAATAGTGATAGCGTTGACAGCGTTCAGCAATTATCAGATATTTTGATGTTCTCTCTCTCTCTCTTTAGTGTTTTATTAAGTACATGTTCTAAAAATAAAGATTCAGATTCAAATTTCTAACTGTAGAAGGTATATCTACAGTAATATGATGTGTGTTAAGCTAGCAATGTGAGAGCCAAGGTAGATTTCTGCACACGTGTATTAATTTTGTCAGTCCTAAATCATGTAAATTGTCCCTCCAGGTTGGTGATATATATACTTATTAAGAATATCAAATCAAATCTTATTCTTATGGCATTCTGTCGTTATATCAGTTCTTTGCTGATAATGTTAATCTAACAATATAAGACTGTCTTACTACTCTACTGTCTTCTGTGATTCCTACACTGTTCCTTCTGGAAGTTCTTCAGTTATATCAGTTCTGTATGTGCATATAATATTACAATGCTGCTCTTTGAGACGCTATTCAGAGCAGGAATCCTATAAATTAATGCTAACTTTACATTTAGGACAGATTTCCTCGTAACTCTCAATTTCTTGTGTTTTACCTCTGTCACTGTGTTCGACTCCTGTCCAAATGCCTACTAGTTTTTTTGATTTAGTGGCCCTTATAGCTTCTAGTTCTTAATTTGGTGAATCGATTACAATTGTTCTTTGTCAGCACCATTCTGAAGGTCAAGTGTTCTTACCTGAAGATAAAAATATTCTCCCGTAAGGAATATGCCATTTGGGCCATGTTTTAAAACTCAAAATAGAGTGGAAAAGAGTGGAATTAGCAAGGAATAAACTAAACAGACATGTAGTTAATACTCCAAATTGTACATAAATGCAAGAAAATCAGACACTTCATTCAAATTATAAAGAGAAATTAAGTATAATGACTAGCAGACGTCTTTTTATGCCGTGGTAAGTTAAAATTAATAAGATATTAAACTGAAGTATGATGCCCTGTTTAGAAGTCAAGTACTCTGTAATGTGTAAAACAAACTTGTCCAAATTTGTTATTAATTCGGTCAGCCTTTTTGAATCTTTAATGAATATTTGTTTGTAATTACAGGGTAATATATATGAAAACATGTTTGTCATACTTTAGACATGTGATTTGCAGTTGAAATCGCATTTACCAACTAGGCTAGCTTTTTTGAAATATTCTGTTTCTGCAGAAAATGGTTGTTTCAAAAGTCTGTCAATTTTGAAAACTTTGAGGTCAAAGTTATAAATACTGAGCTACTTCTTATTAATCATATTGCAAAACAGCTGAGAGTTGTTTCTACTAGAATTATGGCTACACAAAACTAGAAACAAACAAATAAAGAAAATAAACTAAAACCAAAGTCCTGATACAAACATGTTCATAGATAATTTGTTTTTATTCTGTTTATTTTTGACAAATAAATTGTTGTTTCTTAAACTTCCGTCATTTACAAAGTAGCTTTGTAATTATGATTGAAATGAAAATTATGTTTTAAATAACTCTTATCTAATCATTACATGTATATATCACACTTTATAATTATGAGTTAAAACATTATTTAAAAAAGCAGATAAAGAAAATTTGATTTATTATCTATATGACACATTCCTGTTCAAAATATAAAATATAAGTCCTTTTAGCACTTAAATATGTCATGATGTTTTTGTGTTTTTGAAAAATATGAATTTATACGATTCAATACAGTACATGTACATGCTTTTCTATTCTTCATTCCTTATAATAATTTCACTTAATTTCACTCATGTATCAGCATATTTAAAGAACAGTCTTCATTACAACATGAACAAGTTTTTTTTACCTTATAGGCTCCATTTAGTTCTTCTAAACAGCATTTTAATAGAAATTAACACATAAATAAGAAAGGAGTATGGTTGTTTTACATGTGTGTTGCCTACTGAATTTGAACTTTGGACCATAGTACAGTGATACCACAAGAAAGATTGATGTGCTAGTGTTTACCATTGAGCTTTGTTTTATTCGTTTACGACATCTTTAAATGAAACCATGAGGATGTTTTTATCTTTACATTGAAAGTGAAATGTGCCTATTTTTATTTCAATTTTAAATCTGTAAGCAGGTCTCATTGTTCAATATCAGGGGCGGATCTGGGTAAACCAACAAGGGGGGGGCCAAATTTCAGGTCATAGAAAAAACGTCCGCCCCTAAAACCTAAAAGTGAGCCCAAATTTTGAAATTTTGAGGCCCATTTTCTTCAAAATTTGGCCTGAAATTAAAAAAAATAAGGCCTTAAAAGACCCAGTAATGATTAAAAAGGCCCACTTTTTGGGGCATGAAGGCCTTCTTTGGCCCATTTTTTTTTTGGGCCCAATTTTTTTTTCTGGGCCCACCCAAGGGGCCAGGGTTGTACTGGGAGGTTCAGGATGCACAGGGCTTACAATTTAGAGTATTCATTGCATGTTTATTTACAAATACCTTTCTCACCCCCCCCCCTCTTTTCTCCCATAACTTGGAGAATGAAACCTGTCTAGTAGAATACCTCTATAAGTGGAACAATTTTCACAATACATCCCATGAACCATTGATCTCATGATGATTTAGCCTCTATAAGTGGAACAATTTTCACAATATATCCCATGACCTATTGAGCCTCTATAAGTGAAACACAAGCAGTTTTAGTCAAACCTAGGGTTTTCCACAATTGAACATGTGCTAAGTACTATATTTCAATTAAAAGGTGGCTCTGTTGTATTTCAAGATGGTTTAAAGATAGCAGCACAGACCTAAGGTCATTTAAATAGGTGTTACTCTATTTCAATTAAAAGATGGCTCTATTGTATTTCCAGATGGCTTAAAGATAGCAGCACAAACCCAGGGTGTTCAATTTAAACATGTGTTACTATATTTCAATTAAAAGATGGCTCTATTGTATTTCCAGATGGTTTAAAGATAGCAGCACAAACCTAAGGTCATTTATATAGGTGTTACTATATTTCAATTAAAAGATGGCTCTATTGTATTTCCAGATGGTTTAAAGATAGCAGCACAAACCTAAGGTCATTTAAATAGGTGTTACTATATTTCAATTAAAAGATGGCTCTATTGTATTTCCAGATGGTTTAAAGATAGCAGCACAGACCTAAGGTCATTTAAATAGGTGTTACTCTATTTCAATTAAAAGATGGCTCTATTGTATTTCCAGATGGTTTAAAGATAGCAGCACAAACCTAAGGTCATTTAAATAGGTGTTACTATATTTCAATTAAAAGATGGCTCTTCTGTTTTTCCAGATGGCTTAAAAGTAGCAGAACAAACCTAAGGTGTTCCATTTAAACATGGTGTTACTATATTTCAATTAAAAGATGGCTATATTGTATTTCCAGATGGCTTGAAAATAGCAGCACAAACCCAGGGTGTTCAATTTAAACATGTGTTACTATATTTCAATTAAAAGATGGCTCTTCTGTTTTTCCAGATGGCTTGAAAATAGCAGAACAAACCTGGTGTTACAAACATGGTGTTACTATATTTCAATTAAAAGATGGCTCTATTGTATTTCCAGATGGCTCTATTGTATTTCCAGATGGCTTAAAGATAGCAGAACAAACCTAAGGTGTTCCATTTAAACATGGTGTTACTATATTTCAATTAAAACATGGCTCTATTGTATTTCCAGATGGCTTAAAGATAGCAGAACAAACCTAATATAAGGTCATTTAAATAGGTGTTACTCTATTCAATTAAAAGATGGCTCTATTGTATTTCCAGATGGCTTAAAGATAGCTGCAGAATTCATGTTACAAGAAGACATTGATCATCCAAGCACCTGGCTTTTAGCATTGTATACTTGCCACATGCGACGCAAGTTCCCACTGCCACCACAAGAGGACGCTGCTGTGGAGAGTGACGTAAGTTGCAATTTTGTTAAACATTTTACATAAAAAAATGAGAAAATATTGATAGCTCTGGTTGGTCGGATCTCCAAAACAACTGCCTAAAATTTTAAGTTGGTATAATCATGTATTTTATTTAACTGAACCCGCAACATAAGACACTTCACCATAGAAACTGCATTTTTGTTTGTTGTTGTTATGGCAACAGAGAGGGTAAGTTCAGGGGTAAAGCAAGAACATACAGCAACCTCTGGTTGATTGGATCTCTAAAACACAACTACCTGAACATAAGACACTTCACCATGGAAACGAACTATAACTATGTGTTTGTTTGTTGTTGTTAGGCAACAGGAGGTTAAGTTAGAAATGTTTTGAAAGTGAACTTAAACACATAACATTTTGTTGCCTGATTTGAGTATAACGGTATGAGGAAAGCAGTTTTCACTAGGTGTCTGTATGAAGGGAAAAATAATCTACGGCGGTCATGATAATTAGGTGTTCAAATACTCCCAAAAACATGGATCTGAATCTCTAATATTTGACTGATATCTCTGATATCAGGCATCCAAATGCATTGTAATTTTTTCAATGCAGAGAATGATTGCTTCAAAGGAGCATCAAATAAAAGTACTCAATCACCATGCATTATTATTTTTAGGGAGAGGAAGTCTGGGTTAAAGTTCGATACTTAACAAACCCCTACTACGATGACCATTTTGACATTCCCCATGGTGACCTTCTTTTGGGGAAGACTCTCGCTTACCTGTGTCGTAAATCTGATGATGTCATCACCAGGAGCTATCAGCTGATTGGCTGGGGTCTTTACGAGAAGTTCGACAAGGGTCTGGCACTATTGGAAAAAATCATCAATGAGGAGAATTCTAGTTTGTTAGCGAGAGAAGCTGTAAGTATTAGTTATATTGTATTGTATTGCATTATATTATATCGTATTGTATTGTATTGCATAACATTGTATTTTCATGTCACCACCAAGAAAGTATGGCATATTATTATAGCCATTGTTTAAATGTATCAAGCATTTGTCATCATTAGTTAGACAGTAGTCTACAGGTGTAATAATAACATACCAGGCATTTTCATGTTACTGCCTTGTATTCATGGTATTTTATTGTATTGTTTTATATTGTATTGTATTGTATTTCCAGTTGGACACATTTAAGGCCAGCTTAGAAGGTGTTGATGTGCTTAAAGATGGCGAGGAAAGAGCTAAAGATCTGCCTCCAAAGCCAAGTGAACAAGAAAAACAAGAATTTATGGAAAGATTCCAAGTCAGTATTTCCATATTTTTAACCTTTTGATTCACAGTTCAAAATATTTCATATATGTTTGTAATTAAAGATGAGAAATTATGTATTCCAAGCATTTGGATTTTCCAGGCATTTTGGTCATTACAAATACTGCTGGTGGTTAATGCCAATGTATCATTATCAACGTAGAACACCGGAAGATTTAAGCAGCATTGAGAGTAAAAATGGTTTACTTTTTTATGTCATCATGTTCTAGATTGGGTCAGCGTTCAGTGGTTGGCATTCAACGATTGGTATTCAGTGTTTGTAACAAATGATGGGTGTTGACATTTTGCATGTTAATGCCTTCTCTTTTTATTATTTATATTTTTTACAGAAATGGGAAACCAGTTAAAGTACACACAAAATGATGACATCACGAACAGAACTGCTCAGTTGTTATCAATTTTCAGCATGAGAGATTAATTTTTTTTGTTCTGTTATCTTCTAGCCCGTTCCATATCTTTGAAAATGTGTATTCATCGCGAAGAACAAATTAATTGAAATGAATAATTTCTTTTTTTAAATATTTCAGGTATTGGAGACAAAGCTTCAATCATCAAACAAACTCACAGATGATAACCTTGACAATTTGGTTCAAAATCTTGTCAAAACACAACTCTCTGAGGTTGAAAGCAAAGACATTGACGCAATAACGGCAATGTATAAAAGCTGGAATCATCAGCGGGAAGAACTCTTAGACCGTGAACTGACAATCCTTAAAATAAAATCTACCCATTTGTCTATCCAGAAAAAGGTCAAAGAGCTGCAAGAACGAGAAGAACTTGTAACTTATTTTGATCGTGAATTTGAGATTTTGATGGCAAGGGGCAAAGTGCCGATTAAACAAAGGATATGGGAAACTAAGTATCGCAAAGAGGAAGAAGAAGATGATGATACTGCGGGACAGAAAAAGAAGAAAACAAAATGGGTCGATTGGTGGGCGAATTATGAAGCACAACAGGCAAAGATTGTAACACCAACTGGGCCACCAACTACAGTTTTTCAAGATGTTCAATCATAATCTAGCGACTCAATCTATTATTGCGAATGACTAGGTGTACTCAGTATTGTTTAGTGTTGTCGCGATGTGCCATAATCGTACATCGATGCATCGGCAATTTTCAGTAGTAAACATCGATGCACATCGCGATGTACATCGAGAAAAAGTCCGAGAAAAATGCACTGAAATACCGAACGCTAATGCACTAAAATACCGAACAGAACATATTAATAAGAGTACGCTGGTACATCCGGGAACTTCTAGTAACGGTGAAATGAAAGTAAAGTAAATTGTTTTAGATTATGGTTCATTTCTACTAACTAAAACAGTTTTAAAGCGAAAGAATATCAGAAAACATCAGAAAATGAATTAAGACATGAGAAAGGTAAGCGATTTGGGTCAAAATAAGATAAGAAAGGGTGATTTTTAGCAAATGAAATTTTTTTAAAAAACATCGATGTTTTGTTTCAGACATCGATGCATCGCCAGAATCAGCTTTGGCGATGTATATCGGGATGTATCAATTAATCGCGACAACACTAGTATTGTTATGTGAAATACATTTACACATGTTTCCAAGGCTTATGCTCAAAAATGGGAAACCACGATCAAAGCAAGATAATGCCCCCTCATGGACAATCTCTGAAAAGAAGCCTAAGGCTTGTCAAATGTTGTACAATGGTTTTCAGAAATTAAACAATTCATAACATTGCCAAATAAAGTAACAAATATTTACAGAGCAATGAACTCTTTTATCTTGTAATGGATAATTTTTACAGTATGGCATGTGACTACTATATTCAAGGTTAGCATCTATGTACAATAAAACTACCAATATATGAAAAAAAAAAATTGTTGAAACGAAATATTTGCCAATGTCAGATTTATTTTCTAAAAAATGATCCTTCATTTTCTTACGCTATCCGTTGTTTTCAGCCTCGGTTTGTTCACCAAAGGTTGATATTTTCTAAATCAGATTTTTAGCATTGAAGAATTGAAGGATCATTCAGTCTCTTGTGATATTATGGAGGGAATGTATATCTGTATCAACGTAGAAATACCAAAGACGAGTGGTAGTGAATAGTAGGAACACCTTTCTTGTAAAGAATCAAGAGAATGGTCCATCAAAAGCATCTGTATAAAAACTGTCCCATTATACTGTATATTGATCACCATACATATAAAATGCAAAACTACACCGTATCTGTTCTGTAACTGATATTAGACAATAAAAATGTTTAACAACAATATATAATTTTCATTCATCTTGAACGTAAACATATTTCAATTTAATGGATTTTGTGGCTTCCGCTTTGCCATCTGATTGTATCTAGAACCATTAGCCCGTCGTTAACCTTGTTATTCATGGAAATAATTGATAAGGAAAGTTTATGTTTAGACAATGTTACTTCACAGAATTTGAAATAGAGAGGAATCAGCGTCACATCTGATATAGCTCTGATGTATTACACTCCTATGGACCCTTTGCATTTGTTCAACTTCGCTTCTTCAGAGAGTTTATAACTAGACTCTGCGCGCAGGGTAACTCATATCAACACTATCAATTAAATATATCTAAAATTATAGTTATATACATGTACATCTGTAGTGACACTCATGATAATATTTATTTATTTCTTTGTGGAACGGAGTAAACTTTCAATCAAAGATGATCAAAATGCTATTTATCGGCGGTGAATAAAATATTATCAAAATGCTATTTATCGGCGGTGAATCAAAGATGATCAAAATGCTATTTATCGGCGGTGAATAAAATATTATCAAAATGCTATTTATCGGCGGTGAATCAAAGATGATCAAAATGCTATTTATCGGCGCTGATTCTATCCGAATCAAGAGGATTTTTCCATCATCCATTTCAATGAAACTTTGAATAAAATAAAATGAGTTTCATAAAAATGGATCATGGTTAACCGCTCCATAAAGTACAAAAGTATATTGTTTGTGGTGAGTCATTAAATTGTAGGTTTTATGACTAAAGGGTTTTCATTTTCCACAAAACCATAAAAGTACGTAAATGCAAATTATTTGTGACCATCGCAGAAATGGAAAGCTAATGTGTATTCTTGTGGGTTCCCGTTTGATCTGATAAAAGCTATATATAATGCAGTATCGAATAACACTTGTACACTTCACTGCGATCATATGTTATATGATATCGAACACTACTCTTATTTGAGTTATTTTGATCTTTAAAATAGTGTAACTGTAAGCGCAATTTTTACAAACTCCGACAATGAGAGGCATCGGAGTGCTTACGCTACTTTTTTGTTGATCAAACACTGGCAAAGGAATGATGGAGCAGACCAAAGGACTGTCCGTTCGGCTGGTTGCGCAATACGCGTCGAGGGATACAAAGGTTGCGTAGTCCCCCGGCGGCGTGGTCCCAAGCAAACAACATCTGGAAAAGCAAAAATTCTCACCTGCTTGCAATGGAAACACCTGAGTGAGGAAATGAACTTCATCAAAACAGCATGGAGAATTGGTCTCTGGACAAGAGGAAACATACTGGATGGTGGTTTGAAATTCAAATGGGCCGAGAGTGGCTGTTATGAATCTAGGAACGTTGGTTACACGTACTGGAATCCAACACAGCCAGATAACCACCAGGGGAGGGAGTCTTGTCTCATGATATGGGATCTCTTGTCTCATGATATGGGATCAACAATTCCGATGGGGTGATTTTGATTGCAACTACAAACTCAGTTGTGTCTCTGTGAAATAAATTAGTAATAAACCTAATCGGATAGTACACAAACGTACTGATTAAAACATACGTTTTTTGTTATTATCTATTGTCCCTGATATCTGAGACTATAATTAATTCTCTATTGTATTTTTGATTGTTCCGTAAAGCTAAGTTCAAACCAACGGCGCTTTGATGGCGCTTTAAAGCGCCGTGCAAAGCCGCTTTAAAGCGCCGTTGGTGTGAACTTAGCTTTTGAACAGCAAGCCAATATTTATAATTCTGATTCTCAATAACCAAAAATATTTTCAATTCATTATGATGACTTGCGCCATCTATAGACCGTTGAAATAATGAAATATACCCCACAAAGCTAACTGCGCATGTACTATTTCGACGTTCCTGCGTGCGAGTCAAGTTTGATATCATTTTATCAATATTATTCTAAAGACAATTTTATATCGTATATGTATAAAAATATAGATTTTACTTTACGTTTTTAAAGAAATACAGATGTAATGTCTAGACATGTTTAAAGCTAAGTTCACACCAACGGCGCTTTGATGGCGCTTTAAAGCCATTTTCAATCTCAATGAAACTAGGTTTTTATCATAGACCTAGATGTAGCGATTCGAAAAATGTAATAAAAAAGGTTAGTCAACGAATTAGTATCTTCATAAGAAGCTTTTGAAAGTAGGTATGACGTTATCATCATTGAACATTTGGGGCGCCATTGATTTCACAGCTAAAAAACATATTTTCCTCTATTTCTTCATTAAAATGATGATTTAGAGAGTATTGACGATTTTTGCCGAGCCTAGATAAACCTCCTCTATACATAATAATTACGTTGGTTTGAATATTGGTACACTCAGGACATTTTTCTTACTTTTTTCACTTAAAGTGTTATCCCCACCCCCAACAATTTTTGTCAAATTTTGTAACGTTTTTCCATTAAAAATATAACTTTTTCAATTTCGCATACTATGCACGCAGTTTGTTACACTGACTGCGGGCATATCAACATTGCATCATACAAGTGTTTTCAAACGTCATTTTTAAGACATTTATTCTACATTGTTTTATACAAGGTAGTTTCATACGTCCATTCGGTGGCGATTATATGATTCTACCATGTGATAGCGAAAGTTATGTCTAGATGAACGTAGGTTTAAAAATATAAGCAGATTAATAAAAAAAATGTCATCGGTTTTTCGATTACCGACACATGCGTTAAGATGTTGCACTTTTCACAGAAATAGAAAATACTATATTAATTAAACTATATGCAGCAATCCTGTATCTTTCAGTATATGCAAAAAAACAAAAGGGCTGAATTAACTTCAATTAGGTGCTAGGCCAATCTTGGTCGGCGGCGTGCGTCTACGCGGTAGCTAGGCGTCGTCGTCAGTTAAAAAGCAACAACATTGTTTGTTTGTAAATAGTAATTATTTTCAATTTAACATAATTTGTATACATGTATCTCCTTTATATAAAGGGCAATAAATATATACATACATACATACAATACGTCAAACAGACATTATATGACGTAACACTTTTGAACACGAAAGCTCCTTACAGTCTGTCGGCCGACGTTATAAACCCATTGTTGTTTACCGGTTTTTAAAAAAAGTGCGTAGTAATAATTTCGGCATTTTCGAACTACTTGTTTACGCCCGATTGGGCATGGTCTTTAACGAGTTGTTTAGCAATCAAGATGTTACTTTAATAAAATAAAAATAGTATGCCTATAATGATAAGTATAGGAACCTTATATTGAGATAACTAGATTTACACCAGGAAAAAAAATCGAATGCTACTTGTCAAGTAAACTACTTGACAACTTGTCTCCACATAATGGTAATGTCTGATAAACAAAACTCACCTTGTATTTCCAGTACTTTTCATCCTTATGAGAGTCGTGTTCTCCTCGTCTGCCATTTTTAAATATGCGCGCAGTTTGTCAGGGTTTCATAGTCATAGTATGCACGCAGTTTGGATACCGCACCGTGTATGACGTCTTTCTCAAGAATTAACAAAATCGACTGCTCACAAAAATATAAACTAGCTAAGTCCACATGATAAACATCATTCCAAAGTATTTCAAATTATGGATAAATTGAGGTCTGGATGCCCCGTTAGACATTCATTCAATAAACGATTAAAATGGCTAATAATAGCCATATTTGACTCCTATTCTAATATGCTACTATTTCTGTTCATTATTCGGGAAAGGATAACGTTACATTTGAGGATAACAATTGTGAAAATTCAACATGTCCTGTCTTATGACCTGCCTTCACAAGTATAACCTTACAAACCGGACATGAATGACTTTACTGTGATTATAGCATGCGTGCTCTTTGATGATTTTTGGGTGGCCTGGGGGGAGCTGT